GAAAATTTTACTGATGCACTTAAACATTGTGAACAAGTACTTGAAATACAACTGAAATCATTTCCAGATACTCATCCGGATTTAGCTGCAATGTATTTTAATCTTGGTAGAATTAATTCAAAACTAAATCAACACAATAAAGCATTACACAATTTTCAAGCATCTCAAACAATCATGACCAAAATCTTTAAAGAAGATCATCATGATCTTGAATTATTATATTTTAATATTGGTAATACTTATCTCTTACTCGAAAATTATCAAAAATCAATTGATAATTATGAAAAATCTCTTCAAATTCAACTAAAGAAAATCGATTCAGTCAAAGATCATTTAGCAATAACATACAGATATATGGGACTAGCTTTCAATAGGGTAGGTAAATATGTTGAGTCAACAAAAAAAATTAAAAAAGCATTGGAAATTCAATCAGAATTACAAAATCAACTTGAAATAATAAAAATCATTTCATATATTGGGGAAAACTATCATAAACAAACTAACTGCACAGAAGCATTGGAAAACTAGAAAAAAAGCAACTGAAATGCAATCAAATTTATCACCACTGAATAATATCAACTTAACAACATTGTATAGCAATATGGGTTTTGCAAATTCAGCTAATAAAAATTGTCAAGAAGCAATCTCATGTTTCAAAATTGTACTTGACTTACAATCAACATACTTACTACCTAATGATCCAAATATTATCCGTACATGTAACAACATTGGTACTATTTATCGTCAACTTGATGATTATGATGCTGCATTAGAGACTTTTACACAAGTAACTGAAATAGAAAGAAAATCTTTACCGATGAATTCTTTTGAATATACAAAAACATTAAATAATATTGAATTTATATACTGTCACAAAGAAAAATTAACAAATGCATTACATAATTTTGAAAAAGCATTAGAGATTCAATTGACATTCACTAACATACAACCGGAAGAAATAGCTGTTACATACAATAATATTGCAAGTATTTATCTAAGACAAAATAAATATGATTTGATATTTGTCAATGCTAAAAAAATTCTTGAACATTGTCCGAGAGTTCATAAATTACTTGAGGGTGTGGGGTTTGAGTGTGGGTGTGGGGTTGTGGGTGAGTGAGGGTGTGGGTGTAGGTGGGGATACTGGTCATCTTTAAAAAGACACCCACATCCTCACCCTCACCCTGACCTAATAACAAACGTTTAATCGGTGACGCAGCTAAAAGTCAAATGTCTCTGAATCCAAAGAATACAATTTTTGGTTTTAAACGACTTATTGGTCGTAAATTTGACGATGCAACTGTACAAGCTGATATGAAACATTGGCCGTTTAAAGTAATTAATGATATTGGTAAACCAAAGATTCAAGTTGAATATAAAAATCAAATAAAATTATTCACACCCGAAGAACTATCTTCAATGATATTAGCAAACATGAAGGACATAGCGGAAATTTATCTTGGTAAAAATATTTCTAAAGCTATTATTACTGTTCCTGCTTATTTTAATTATTCCAAACGTCAAAACGTCAAGCAATAAAAGATGCTGGTGCTATTGCTGGTCTTACTGTATTATGCATTATGAATGAATCGACAACGACTGCTATCGCTTATGGTTTAGTTAACAAAATTTCAGCTGAAAGAAATGTATTGGTTTTTGATTTGGGCAGTAGCAATGTTAATATAACAGTTTTGAAAATTGAAGAAGGTGATTTTAAAGCTACGTCAATCGCAAATAAATAAGAAGAAATTTGATCCTTTTCAAAAAATTTTTATTTTGAGTATTTATTTAAGGCAGTACACATTTAGGTGGGGACGATTTTGTTAATCGAATGGCTGAATACTTTGTTCGAGATTTTAAACGTAAATATAATAAAGATTTACAAGATAGCAAACGTGGTCTTCGACAACTACGTAATGCTTGTGAATTTGCTAAAGTAAATTAAATATTAGTTTCTCATAGAATCAGAAAAAATTATTTGAATCACTTATTTTTCTTTCTCTAGCTTACTTTATCATCATCATGTCAAGCATCAATTGAAATCGATTCATTACATGAAGATATTGATTTTTATTGGACAATAACTCGTGAATGTTGTGAAGAACTTAATGCTGATTTATTTCGTTCAACAATCGAACCTATTGAAAAAGCTTTACGTGATGCTAAAATTGATAAAGCAAGTGTTCATGAAATTGTTCTTGTTGGCGGTTCAACACGTATACCAAAAGTACAACAAATTTTACAAGATTTCTTTAATGGTAAACAATTAAATAGATCAATGGAACTAGATGAAGCTGTTGCTTATGGTGCTGCTGTTTTATCCGGTGATAAATCAGAAGAAGTTAAAGATTTATTACTAATGGACGTTGTACCACATTCATTGGCAAGCAAAATTTAAAAAAAAAAAGAATTCTCTTATTAGATTTTTTTTCTCTTTTGAAGGTTTTGAAACTTTTGATGGTCTTATGACAGCAATGATGAAACGTAATACAACAATTACAACAAAACAAACGCAAACATTCCCTTTAACATCATTTCCGAAAAGTCAATCAGGAATTATTACAAAATTATTCGAAGGTGAACGTTCAATGACGAAAAAGATAATAATTTACTTGATAGTTTTGAACTCTGGCATTTCTTCAAATTCGGATGATGGATCAGAAATTGAAGTTACATTTGAAATTGATGCAAATAGTATTTTAAATGTTTCATCTGATGATCAAACTTCTGCAAAATCTAATAAAATTACAATCACCAACGAAAAAGAGCGTTTATCTAAAGATGAAATTGAACGTATGATTGCTGATGCTGAAAAATATAAAAAAGAAGATGAGGTATAACGTAATCGTATTAAAGTTATAAATTCATTAGAATCATATTGTTTTAGCATGAAGACAACAATTAATGATGAAAAATTGAAAGATAAAATTAATGTTTATGATAAAAAGAAAATGATCGATGCTCTTGAAAATACATTGATATAGTTAGAAACAAATCAAATGAGAGAATCATAGTCATTATGATTATTATATTTCTTATACTATTTTTTTGCTTTTAGTTTGCTGAACAAGAAGAAAATGAAAAGAAGTTGACAAATTATGTTCATCAATAATGATGAAATCTTCTTCAGGTGAAAATGATGCTGAGAAAATTCCGGAAGGATTTTCTGATGATCAAACAAGTGAATAAACAATAATTAACGTGATACGAAGGGGTGGATGTGGGATGTATACTAATGTTGTTCCGATTCATCAATAACACTCTCACCAACATCCACACCCACACCCTTTTTTTATCTTCATTTGTCGTGAAAAGAATATTCGTGTCACCGATCGTTCGATAACTATTTAGTCGTACCTGTCGATATCAGAGATGGCCATGGCGCCACCACCGTGACGGTGTCAGTGGAGTGGGAGATGTCTCAAAAATACTATTGCGGCACTCGATTTCAATATCTACAAGTTCAACAGTCAGAATTATGTTGAATTTGATGGATTTAATTTAACTATGCTAATTTAACACAGTAACCGAAGAGATTGTCAAAGAATTTCTCGAAAACAATTGCGACAGCAGCATATTTCATACCGCGATGGACATCTCTGATCGACATATAAAGCTGTGAAAAAGAAAACTATGTATAATAAATCTTCTCTCACTCTCATGATAAGATCTTTTTCTCTGATAAATAATCTTTGGTCATTCATCAATTGACGTGTGTAGGTGAAGATCACTATATGAAAATAAGTCAAATATTTTGCTTATGTAAACTTTCATCTATTCTGTTTGACGTATGATCAAATATAAAACTCTGATTTGATTCAAGTTTTGAGCAAATTGACAAACAATTGTCTTCTATTATCATTAAAGATATTAGTAGTTACAGGTTTATATCTTCGTAAAACATTATCATGGCATTCTGTTGATCAAAAAGAAATAATTCATTAGTCTGTATTATTCAAAATCTTGTTGCAGCATATTGTAACTTTGAAGAGAAAGATAACATAATTATTTTCTTTATTGATTAATTATGTTTGTATTAGAAATACTATTAACAACAACAATATTTCGTTGTGCATTGTCTTCGTTCAAAGTTTCTTGTCTGTTGTCTTCTTCTCGTATTGCTCTTAGATTTTTACCAAATATTTTGTAGATCATTCGTTTAAGTTCATGTCGAAAAACTTTTGAAATAATAACAAATATGAAAAAATTAACACAATAAAACATAAAATAAAGAAAAGCAAAGAAATTATCTAGAAAATCATTAATTGCTTGTTGTAAAGGTGTTAGTATCTGATTTCTAGTTGCTGCTATATAGATCGAAAATACACTTGAAAAAATACTAACAGTAATATAAATAATATCTTGGACGAATAGACAACGAAGTAATTGAAAATCTTTTTTTGTCATTGATCGAATTTGATTTCGTTGATGACGAGGAAATATTCGAATATGACGAATATTTTTGAATACAATAATCGATAGAATAATCATCGTCCAACAAACAAGTGTATTAAAACTTATTAAAAAATAACTAATAGAATCAACATAAAAACTTGATTGATCATAGTCACAAAAATATTGCGAAGAAAAAATTTCTTGTAGATTAACTTTAATAAGTATATGAATATGGAAAATAATCCAGAAAAATGTACTTACACTAATAGAAAAATAAGCTAAACGTTTTGAACTATATAAACGTGTTTCAACATTTTGAGAAGAGATTAATAAACGATCAATCGATGCAAGAATAAGAACAGTAGGTAAAAGAGTAGAAGAGAGCAATGCAACATAGAAAAATAATTTACATAATATTACACTTGAATTTTGTACATTGATATTAAAGCCATTGATCAATGCAGTTCCAAGAATAGTCGAATTCAAATACATTGAACTGAGGACGAGAGAAACAAGAAAATAGAATACACAAACATTCTTGTTCCACGCCTTTCTCATAAAAACAGAAGCACTTAATAAATTTCCAACATTACCCAAGATATAAATTATAGGATTTCCATATCGATAAATATAAACAATAGCATTATTCAATACTTTTATATAGTAACTATCCGACGAAGACATTTTCTTCTATGACTTATTCGTACCGTTTTTAATAAGAAATACAAAAAAAAAATATTTATCTCTAATTTTTCATTCTTTGACAAACTGACGGAAGTAATCTTCTTAAACAAAAAATACTCATTCTTATTTTTTCTCATTATTATCAAGTAGGAAAACGTCATTAGTGTGTCATAATAAGATTTATGAGTAATCATAATGCAAAATAGGTTTTCTACTTAAAAGTTGCAATTTAGATGATGAAGAAAAAAAAACATCCGTCTTACGATGTCATATAGGTATTGGAGTAAACCTTTTTTTTTAGATATTTTCTTCATAGAAAATGTGTGTAAATCCATGTCATACTACATTATCTCATATTGATCTTGCAATATCTAATTTCGAAGAGAAATAATCTATATAATATATTAAATTTATAAAAAGATTACTTGTTGATGATTATATCCTTGTGAATTTCATATAAGATTCAAAAAGAATCTTTGATTAGTTTGCTCTTGAATATATTTTGAAAAAAAGATCAGTAATCAAGTCATGATAAAATGATCAACACTGATTTACTTACTGAAACATTGTCTTATCTAAAAACTGAATAATAATCAAAATATATACTCATTCTGATAATGAAGTATATTTTTCTGTGTCTTATCACAACTGATTGTTTTTAATACGGTATTTATACATAGAAATTAAATAAAAAATTATTTTTCTTATTCATTTATAAATCTGAAGTCACTTTTCACTGCAAATTTATATTTACAACAAAGCAAGGTACTTGCATATAGTGTTCGACTTCGAAATATTTCAATCACAATAGAACTTATATAATTGGCTGTATGACTGCTTGTTTACGCGATGAATCTTTATTAATATTTTTTTTTACTAGAGTACATTTTATACTTGTATTCGTGCAGACCGAGTAATTTCAGTGAAATTTACTTTGAAATGAAAATAGATTATTAAATGGGTTAATAAAACTAGTAGTCAATAGTTTTAAATTAATCTGCAATATTTTCCTATTGCATAATAAAAATAAAATCTCGATCATAGCGGAACACACAAACAGATGCCAAATAAACTTGATTTCACAGACATTTGACCACATCAAGTATTTATTAGTCATAATTTCGATGTATAGTCTACCTGATCGTTCATTAGAAAACATTTTGAGAAAATCATATGACCAATAATGAAAAAAAAATACTGCTTCATTCGTCTTATCTCTCTCGTCATCGATACACATGTACGCACTCCCTTAATCTTTTATTTTCTCTATCACATGCGCAGTGCGTGCTTATCAATTCATATGTTAATTAGCTGTCATTATGTCAGCTAATTATCATAATCATCAAAATAATTCGAATAATTCGTATTCAACAGCACAAATAGATAGTAATTCAGTAAATTTAGTCAACGATTGTTGCTATGATCCAAGTACTCATATTCACTATCACTCGAATCGTAAGCAAGCACAAAATCATGTTCGTTTCTTATCATCAATAAATCTGCAATCAGTTAATTCTCCAGCATAATATATTAGATGTATACATTCAGAGAATTTCGATAATGATTTTAGACGAGTCACGTATAAGAAACACAGAAATAGTAATCATCAATATATCCGGATGTGGTGTGAGTGTGTGGGTGTTGATGAACAGAATAACAAAAGTCATACTGAAATACCATAGGCGCAAGCACAATCACACCCACACAACTTCAGGAAGTAGTTGCGGATATGGTTTTGTTGGCAGTCGGTGCGATTAAGTATGTGCGTGTGGAATTTCAATGTGAGTTTTGGTGTTCTGTTCAATGATACCCACAATCACCGTCAGCTATCCAGACCCCACTCCACATATAAATCATCAGTGTAGTCTTTGTATTCGATACTAACACCTTCGACTTCGTATCGTACGAAAATTGATTTCTTCATTCTCTTGTGTGTCGATTGATCTCTTTGAGTGCATCATTGTTTTTTTGTATTGTCTGGACTATGTTGTTCAGCTGTTGTCTTACATAAGGAGTGTGGGATGTGGATGTGAGTATTGGTGTTTTATAGATACTGCATCCATATGGAAGCCCACACCCACACCCTCGACTATTTAACATAATTTTTAACGGAAGATATACATTCATTTCTTTGCATACTTCTTTAATACATTCAAATAATGTTTCCATATCAGTTTTAAATAATCGATCGATATTATCAATACGACAACAATCAGTTACTGGTGTTTTTTTAGAATAGATTAACTGATCTTGAATAAAGAATTTATATTTAGTAAAATTAATAAAAGTTNGAAAGACGAATGTGAAACTTCAATCCAATAAATTTCTAGTTGGCATCAAAATTCCAGTTCAAAATTGTGATCTAGCACTTTCAGCTAAACAATGAATTGTCTTCAAAGTATAATGAATGTACTGACTATGGTTAAAAAAAATTTACTAACCGATTGAGAACTGAAACAAGGTGTAAACTAGAAAACTTCTCAGCTCAAAATCTGAAGCTCACTTCTGAACTGTTTTGCGCTGATAGTGAAGAACTCTTACCGGTCAGAAATTCTCAAATTATTTTCTAGTTGTTGTCTAAATACCAAAAAAAATCGTTTTAATGCGAAAGTTGTGCCACATACTAATATCATGCACATTTTAATAAAAAATTAGGTCTTAACAAAAATAAATCTAAAGAACCGTGGATGTCTGTCAGTGTTCAGCACGGATGTAGTGACTATTGGCATGTTGTTTCCATTCAGACGACGGTTCTTTTTCGAGACCTGTAGACAATTATGCTCAACTACAGACAAAGCTTCCCCAAAAAGTTTGAGTTCTATTAGTTGAAGTGTCTATCATATAACATAATAGTAAAAGTAAATCTTTTGTTTTTATACGAAGTAATCAACAAGAAAATATAAAGTAATGTATCCATTTTTGCTTTGTCTCTATCACTATTATCATGTAAAAATGTTCGATAAGTTCTATTACTTTAGAGGATTGAACTAATGAAAAACTAGTCTCCTTAGAACTTCGAGTACCTAGAAGAGGTGCAATTAAGGTGGTCATATTCATTTTTGAAACAGAATATCAGAAAATAGTTAAGTCAATTCGTACGATATGCACTACACTTGACATTCATGTGCTTCTCAAACAAAGAGAAAGATAGATATATATATATATTCTTTACTTATTTTTTTCCCTTTCTGCAGTAAAGTATAGCAGTAAGAAGTAATTGAATATTATCTAGAGATTAATCGGACTTTCCTGAATGAATATGACTCTGTTCGCTCGACTGAAGGAAGGGTTATACGAATCATAATTCATAGGTGTCGAGACAGGACTCTCTATCCATAGATAGTTGCAGAATAGCCGTAGTGTTTTCAATTTTCCTCTGAGAAGTTTTCTGTTATGAATTCAAGTATTTTTTAAAATAAGGCAGATATCTATCGGTTATATTTTACATAAAATGTATGATCTTTCGAAGAACTAGACCTAAGCAAGTGAACAGCTGGCTATGAGTGGCGTCCCAAAGGAGTGCCGACGAAGGACTAGCGGTTGATTCGAAACGTTGATCGAAAGAAAGCTTCAGGCTCCAAGAACGTTGGAAAACTGAAAAATGATTTTGCCTAATCAAATCTGGAAAACAAATTTTGTGTAGTGGTACAGCATCTCTGATATTGATTTGATGGAGAGGAAGAATTAGCATATTTGGGTGGGTGTGGGTGTGGGTGTAGAACATAGAAATAGACAGACTCACACCCACCCACACCCCGATATCTACAGTATCTTCGATGTCAAAAAAAACCATATTGTAAGTGTGACCTTGAGCGAAACCACTTCTTCACTATACTCTGTCACTTTTACAACTATGAATAATATTGAAGTAGAAAACTTACCTTTATTTCTTACTCCAAAGCAATGTCAATAAATCTGCTGCAGTTGGTGGAATTTAATGAGTCCACAACAAGTATTGAGAGGATGCAGATCTTATTTTTCTTGTTTATGGAATGAACTCAAAGAAATCTTATCGATCGTTCGTCTTCCTAACTGCGTCTCAAGCAAATATTTGATTTCATTTTGTATTAACCCTTCCCCCTCCCCCCTCCCCCATAGAGGTTCCAGAAGAGTCACTAATAAAACAACTATTGAAACGGAGTATTGTCCTCTCCAGTAGGTCAATAATATAAGCAGATCGACCAGGTGCGCTTTCCTATATGCAAGACTAATTGGCAACTCCAGTTGCCATTGGGGGTAGCGACATGAAAATGCTTTTTTATCTTTTGCCAGTTGCTTGTTGATTTCGCAAAAATACAATATATTTTTTTAATTCAACCATACGAATAAAGAAAAAATCGAAACATAAAAAGATTTTCGTTTTTTTCCACAGCACATGTGCTTCTGAAACAACTTTCTCTACATACATAAAATCTGTTTTTCTCGAAGTAATTAAATCATCAAGCAAAGAATACAATCATTGATTCATTCTTCTTCAACTTCGAATGTGATAAGATTTAAAAGAATGAGGGTGCGGGTGTGTGTGTGATTTGGGTCTGTTCTTGTCCGAAACCGACATTCACACCTACCTACACCTACACCAAACATTTATATAACAGCAAATGATGCTCGTATTTATAAATAACTGCAATTTATTTACTTATCTATGCGTATATATTAACAAGTATTACGTTTAGACGAAAATTTCTAAACCTGTTTTTCATGTCATTATCCCTCAATGGCAATCCCAGTTGCCTTGTTATGTCATACAATCTCTTGTTCAGCTAATTCGTGTGAAAATTTATAAACGCATTTTATTCAAAAACAGCAACTTTCGTCGATATTTGTTGCACAGCATATCATCAAGATAAGTATTTCTCGTGAGTAAAAAAAAACAATCTAGACAGAAGAGGTCCTCTTTTTATAATCTCATAATCGACTGTTTTGTAAGTCGTATATCTTAGAGACAGAGCAAGGATACAAAATATTTTTTTAACCAATCGATAGCTTACGAAACCTACTACACACAGTGTGTAAAGAGTTAATCGCTCTCCAGTAAGACGAACAATAAAAAGGACTCGTATGCGGAAAAATGAGTGGAGAGTGATAAACCATTACTATCTGTTTATTACCATTGGACAAACCTTTTTACGATTGTAAGGATTATTTATCCTTTCATAAACCTTTTGGTTTTTATCAATCTTGGCAAGAGTCTGTGAGGGTGTGGATGTGGGTGTAGACTAAAAGAAGATACGCGCACTTACAATCACACCCACATCCGCACTCAGACCTTAAAAAATTGCTCAGATTCTTCAATAGTTAATATTGCATGTCAATTTTTCCAATGATTAGAGAAAAGTATTACACGCATATGTTTTTTCTATAAGAATTATTATACCTTTTAATGTAATAACTGCTGAAAAAATAAGTCCAATGACGAGCTTCGGCGAACAAATAATTTTCATTGTTATAGAAGCACTAGAATATATTTCAACAGAAACAAGAGAACGATCAGAAGAAGTTTATTAATGAATTCTAGCTGTTGAGCGCCGTTTTTTCGAGATGTTGCAGAAGGCAATGTTGATTGTGTCCCCACCAACTTCGCAATTGTTAAACACGTTAATCGTGCCTTGTCAGTCGAGGATATTGATGCGAGTATTTTTGCCTCTCAAATTCATACCCATAGTGAACAAGTTCGCCTATCGATAGAAAACTGTATTTTCATGAATAGCTTTCACTCGATCATTGTCAAGCTGCACATCTTTAATCTTCTATTGAAAAACACAACTATCTCAAACGAGCTCTTTTTGATATCCGAGCCGATACGATACTTATGCCAATTAGGCTATTTGTAAATGTTACGAGAGTCAATAAATTTCAAGCGAAAGAAATGTCATAGATGTTTTGGTTGGTATTTTAATTTTTAATTTTTGATTTTTGCGTATTGAATTTGATGAAGATTGACGTGCGTGAAGAATTACACCTAGTTAGTATTGTACAACGATGATGATAGCGGTACTGAACTTATACTAGATCATTCCACAATTGATATTGACGAAAGTCATATTCACTTGAAATCAGTCATATCTTTGCTGAGCGATATCAAAAACAACGTATCGACCGAAAAATTTTGAATCAGAGAGCCAAGTATAATTGCTATAAGCTTCTTGCGTTCGAACTTGCAGATTTTAGGAATTATGAAAGATTTTAACATGCGAAAGGACACTTTAAATTGCCCAGTAAAACACTCAAGCAAATGGTCTCGTCAGTCGCATGAATGAATCGTTGATGAAGCAGATACAATATTCATGGGATTTAGTTTCGAGCTAAATGAAGTGAAAGACTAAACAATTGAGGGAAGAAGAGATGATACAGTTGTGAAAAATCTTGTGTTTCAAATATCTTAATAGACATACGACTTTATTCATAAAATTAATCATCGTCATCAATTACATTATTCAAGTTCATTTCGGCTAGTTTCATAGCTAGTTCAATTGCATAATCTTTTCCTCTACCCATATTCTCGTCGGAATTCGGTTCTATATTATCATACCATCGGGCAGGAATCCATTGCCAACCATGCAAGGCACCAACAATATCGCCGATAATTGCTGCCACGGTATCAGTGTCACCACCCATGTTTACACCTCGGACGAGACACTCTTCAGGTTCACGATAACTTGTGCATACAATCCACAGAGCACATGGGATTGCTTCGATTGCTTTGATTTGAAAACTATTACCGAATAATCGTACTACTTCGTAATCCGTTCTACAAAATACATCCAAAAGCATAACAATTTTACTTTCAAAGATTTTTCACTCAATACTCGGTACTGGCTTAGCGCTCCCTTTTTCAAAAGTAGCAAATTTCAAATGACCTCAATACCTTGATTTTCATCTATTCTTTTCCAGGTCTATCATACAAAGTTGGGCATATAGATTTTGCGATATTTTAATTGGAAAGTTTTCGAACATATACCTTTTTGTTCGGCTCACACCAGTTGTACCATACTGTTTATCATAAAGTGCAATCAATTTCGTAATCTGATTCTGCATACCATTTGTTCGTGCGGTCGATTGTAAAACATTGAGAAATTGAGATGGGTCGAAAGCGTCAATCGATTCGCAATGAAGAGCCAAGATAATGGCTTTAGCCAAAACCAACGCTCCATCTATACCTTCAGGATGCACATGTGAAGAGATAATGGACATACGAACTGCTTCATAGAGTTGCTCATCGGATGCATCGCGAAAAGCGAGAGCAACTGGAGCTATTCGCATCGCTCCACCATTGGCGTACGATCCATCGGGAAAGCTGATACGTCCACACTCACGATAGTCTGTCTTACCATCAAGCACACACTATATCAAGAGAAAAATCAATATGATCCGCCACAATGAACTTCTCGAAATCAAAGATATCATCAGCTCTGTCTTTGTAACTCATCTAACTACAAGAGTCTCGTTTTATTTTAACTCGTTTTTCTTATGATCTTATCTATTTCTGTTGATTTTATTCACCAAAAGAACGTGTTATGAAATCTTTTACAAGTGTATTGATTAACGTCCGTTGGTTAATGGTAATAGAAAAAAAGACTATCAGAGAATTCTTTTGAATCCATTGAGCAAAACTATATGCTAGATTTCAATTGAAGAATGAGCAAACGAAATGAGTTAATCTGTTGAGAAGCTATCGTGTCATAAAATTACACTCCGGCTTTAAAAATGACTCGATTTATTTAAGCTCTTTTAGATGTATTTTCATAGTGAGTCTTATGGTTTATAACTGGAAAAGAATGATCGCTCTTTTTCAACAACGTTGTAGTCTCAAAATATAACTCAGAGCTGGTCATTTGTCAGAGATGAAAAAAAGCTTGCAGAATCTGATTGCAGTCGATAATTGCTGATAAATGCTTTTGTAGAATGTACTTTCAGAGTAATAGTTATTTGCTAGACAAGTTATTAGAGCATTCTCGATATTTGTTTTCACAAAGAACAATTACAATCCAACAAAACTATGTAAAAACAACAAAATACCTTATTGTCATATTAAACAATCAAAGAGTTGTCCTAAAAACGATTGCTGAGAAGTGTATTTCTTTTTGTACTTTTGAAACACCTAACGTTTCATGTAGCGCCTTAAGAAATAAGAGGATATGTTTCGAGATTTTTCAATTCGACTCTCGCTGAAACATGCATTGATTTCTACTAAGGAATTCAACAGACTTGAAAAGAAGACATTGTACTGACTTGCATACTTGCTTGAGCAGAGTCAGGATAGCCTCGCTTGATTCCAGTAGACCAAAACTCGGCGTAAGATTTTGCTGCATGTTTGGCTTTCAAACCGCCATTAACAACAAGACTATGAGCTAGTGCAAGCATGCTATTCGTATCGTCCGTATACATATGAATACGAGGTCCAAGTTCCGGAATACCCATATGTGGTGCTTTGATATCATCCCGTACTATTCCAAACTCACGTTTAATTCTGGCAGCTGAGTAACCTTCGACACCAGCTCCTAGTTGATCCCCAATCATGTGACAAAGTAGACAGCCAATGCAACGGTCGACTAGTGAAATGCTCATTTTCTTCTTATTCGCAGACTCTGTCAAAAATTCTACGCCGAATCAGATCGATAATTTTGTGTGAAGTTATGATACAGAAAAAAGTCAAGATGAAATTGTGTACGACGTGACTCTTAAGCGCAAAATATTGTGAAATACGTACGTGATGAAAATGCTATCCTTGAAAGCCAATAGCAACGACCAACGCCAAATATACACAAGTCAAAATACAGGTATAGCAGAAAAAAAGAAGAAGTGGTTTCGGTATTTAGCAAACTGGAAGGTGAGAGGAAAGAGGGCGCACATATTCAAGTCAAGGCTATCAAGAAATATAGTGGGTGTGGGTGTGGGTGTCAATCTTTCTTGAGAAAGTACCCGCACCCGCACCCACATCCACACCCACCCACACCCACATCCACACCCACACACCCACACCCACCCACACCCCACCCCACCCTATTATATAAAAAAAAGAAACAATATTTTATAAAGGGAGACACAATGCTATTAAAACCCGTTTCTTATCTCTTGACATCAACAACGTGTGAGAAAAAAACTAACAAGTTGCACAATGACTACATCAACTTTTCATGCTAAATCGACAGCAGTTGAATTTGTTAAAGGACTTAACGTAAATCTTCATGGCAAACTTGTACTTATTACGGGTGGTACGCCGGGTAAATAAATTTAATCATATAAGATTTATTAGAAAATGTTTTTATTATTTAAGGTATCGGAATTGAAACAGCTCGTGCATTAGCGCACATGTAATTATCACAGCACGAGATATGAATAAAGGTGTAGAAGTTGTTGCAGATCTAAAACAACAACTAACAATGATAAAATTGAAGTGATGAAACTTGATCTAAATTCACTTCAATCAGTCAGAGATTTTGTTGATCAATTTCGAGCACGCCATTTACCAATTAATATTCTTATCTGTAAATAAAACATTCTTCCATTACTCTAACATATTTCTATCATTATATTAATTCTAGGTAATGCGGGTATTATGGCATGTTCATATGGAAAAACAACCGAGGGTTTTGAAACTCAATTTGGTGTTAATCATTTGGCTCATTTTCTTCTTGCTACCAGAACTTAAAGCAGGTAAACCATCACGTGTTGTTGTTGTTGTTAGTTCATTCGCAAATAAACGTGGTGGAATTAATTGGGAAAACATTATGATAAATGCCTTGCTTATGGTCAGAGTAAACCAGAAAATATTCTTTTTTGCTAAACAATTTAATAAATTATATTCATCAGAAAGTATTCAAGCATATGCATTACATCTAGGTGGTATTATGACAAATTTAAATAAATATTTATCAATGGAAGAACAAAAAGCAATGGGATGGTTTAAAGAATATGGTACACCTGTTGATAGATTTAAAAATGTTGAACAAGGTGCATCAACAAGTGTTTATACTGCCTTAGCACCTGAACTTGATAATGAGATGGAACCAGCAGAACGTTTATGGAAATTGAGTGAACAAATGGCTGCAGTAAAATAAACAACAATATATTATCTTACGTTGCGAAACATTTTTTTTCTTAGTTTTATCATTTATGTGAGTTTTTCACTTCAAACAATAATATTACATTCAATTTTTTCTTGCTAATTATGTTTTATTCGTGACACGAAGAGAAAATAAATAGATAATCCGTTACGATCCTCAAGTGACATGTTCATAAATAACATTTAAATACATTTATTCTTTTATCTGAAGTAAAATTTACACTATTTAAATGACAATAAGAACTAACTGACACATATAAACATTCATCGATCTATTTGTTTAATTCTTTCTATCGTTTCCATCGTTTTTTTTCTTTCTGTTCAGGTCAAATAATCGAAATACTAACGATCGAAAGCATTGTAGCCAGTCACATTCTCTTCCCCTCATTTCCACCACTGTTTTATTTTATAATGACACTTATTGTTAATAATGTGATCGATCCTTCTGTATGTTCTTGTTTCCCTGGTTCATATCAATATACCATCTGTAATAAAATCAAATGGTCTACTTTATCTATTGGAACAGGATTATTAATTATTGTAAGAAAATCTAACATAGATATACAACTATTTTTTTTGTATGTAAATTGTTTATCTAAGCAGTGGATTGTATGCCTTGGTTGATGTAACAACAATAATATCGAAACAATCATTTAATGATGGAGATGGTTTGTGTCATTTAATTTAAATGTTGTTGATTATACTTTTTCTATAGATACAGTCTTATGGCCGATAACATCTTCTTCATTAATGACTATTTTTGGTTGGTTATCAGTATCGATCTATTTTACTGTTGTTCTTCTTGCTATTGTTCTTCTCAGTGGCATTCAATTCGTAAAATTTTATTTTAATAGATTTAATCGATGGAAGTGAGTTTTTTTTAAGGTAAAACCACGTCTTTTATTTCTTTGGTCAATTATAATCATTTTTGTGTTACTTGCTGATGGAATTGTGACTGTTCTTTCTCTTTGCGAACATCAACGACAGATTTAATTATTTTATATATTCATCTCTTAATCTGAATTAATATTTATTTATATTATTTAGAATTATCGACCAACAAAGCACATAAGATTCTCTTTTTTGCTATGAGTGTTCGTCTTATTGTTGCGGTTAGTTAAAAAAAATGATAATCATCAACTTCTTTTATTTTAAGTTATGTGGAATTTTCGTCACTGTCTTGCATTTTCGTCGTTTAAAAAAGCTCAATCAGAACAAATAAGTCGTCAAGTAATAAATAAATATACACCTATAAATTATCTCTTTTCATATTCTAGAGAATGTTAGATCGTTATCATGCTGGTTCTCCTTCACCATCCTATTACGATTCATGGGCACGTTCGGCTGCTTTTTCAAATTCACCAAAAGATGTTAATGACGATCGTTATGTAGCCGATCTTCCACCAGTTACATTACCAAGTGCTAAAGTTGCTAATGTTCAATATCATCCAACAGCAGCAATGTTTCATTCATATAATCCACAAGCAGCATATATTACACAATCTCATCAAAGACTAATCAAGAAATATAATGATATTTTTCGATATAATATACCATTGCAAGAAAGATTTCATCAACAAGAGATAAAAGATATACAAGAATTTAGAGATATTTACTAACTTTTTTTATGTTTTTCAATAAGAATTAATTAATAAACTTAAAACATGAATAGTTCATTCAATTTCCATCTCATATAGAAGCAGTGATTATCAATCTTTGAAATATATATTATTTATCATTCATATTATAAGACAAACACATAATCAAAAGTCAGAAATGAACGAGAAAAAAGAAAAATATAAAGTTAATTTAATGGTTACTTCCAATTGACTGTTGTTTTTTAATTCTTTGTGCTGCAGCAACTTGTTCTTCTTGCTAAAGACAATCTGCAAATGCTTCTGAACGTGTTTGTAATTCATTTAAAATTTCTTGTCATTGACGTAAATTTTCACGCATATCATTAACAAATTTTTCTTGATTATAATCAACTGTAATTTGTGCTTGTTTAACAATTTTACGTAATTGTTTTGTTAATATTGGTTTTTTATTTATTAAAATATCTTGACAAGAATCAAATTAGCATCTTCATATTCTTGTAAATGTTCAACTTGTGCTGCATATGAAGCTGATGCTTCATCTTGTTCATCATCATCATAATCATCTTGAAGATTATTTGATGATGCAGAACCATCATGATGATGTGAATAATGATGATGGTGACCAAGGCTGTCACATCTCCTGATTTAGGCAGGAGACTCCTGGCTTTCAGACTTTTCTCCTGGTGAAAAGATCTCCTGGTACCAGGAGCTGGTTTTTAAGGCTTTCTCCTGGTTTTTCCTGGTTTTCTTAGATTTTTATCATCTTAAATTTTAGTGACTTTTCGAATCGTTGAGACCTGAAAATCGAGAAAAGAAAGAACTATTACACTATTTAATGAATGCAGTAACAAAGAAGAAAAACTTTTGTTTATTCGTGATTTCTCTAAAACGTCGGTTACCACTTTCGTCGACAACATTCTTTCGCAACAATCTATATACCAGAATTGCTAAATCTCTTGATTCAGCCAAAGAATCCTGGTTTTCAGAGTTCTCTTCTGATTAGAACATCTTTTGAATCCAGAAACTGGTTTCTAATATTGTCTCCTGATTTTCCTGGTATCTTAATTTTTTCTTATAACAGAAAAAAAAAGTGTCACATCACTTGATGTATGTATAAAGCAATTAAAAACACGTTGTCTTTATTGATATCTCTGAAACTAAAGTTATTATTTCCATAAACGAATTTTATGGCAAGAACTCATGTATGGTAAATAAAAAGTAAAAAATCTTTTTGAATATTTAGTGAATATTTTCAATGCAAGAAAATGAAATAGAAAAAAAGTCAAATCTATTAGAGAAAAATCTTTTGCCGCAACCTTTACCGCAATCTATAAAAAACCATGATGTTGGCCCACTGAAATATAATTCAAAATATACAACAACTTCATCATTATCTATGACAGTAACTAAACGTTACTTGTCGCAATTCAAAAAAAATAGTTACCTAACTGTGTATAATTCTTACAGGTACCTCCTAAATAGTCTGAATCTATTGAAACCAATTCGATCATCGGGAAAACGTAGTCATATTGCAAAAATGCTACGAGGAGCATGACTGACTGTTTATTGTTCATATGTGCTCCTTATCATCTTGTTCATACCAGTTCCTAACTAAATTTTATTTTTTTTTAATTTGTATATCTTATCAATGGCTGTGGAATAACTAATGTCGGATTTTTTTTAAAGTATTAACGACCATTTTCTGAATAACTTTTGATTACTTTGAGTTATCGAGCTGCGGTTTTCACCATTCAAAAGAGCAAGCCGGGGGCTACAAAATCCTACTGATTTTGAATGGTCAAGCAATTGACCAACCAGGAGAACTTTTGCTGGACANCAGGACGTGTACCTAATACAATAAGTATTTTTGGTAGATTTACACTATTCATAGAAGATATCATTAAATTATTAACTGTATGATTAGTTTCATATGAATTAAATCTAAGTAAATGTGTCCATGATAAAACATATTCTTTATTATTTTTGATAGTTATACTTAATACAATAACATAAACAAATAAGAGAAGTATCGTAATCAATAAACCAAAGCGTCCTATTTGAGTAAGAGTCATATTTTAATTGTTCTAATAATTTAGTCAATCGTAAAGAAAGAGAGTATATTAATCTAAAAAATGATCACAATCACAATTTGTAAACAGCTGGCTAATCAGAAGTTCGTTATTCTAATTTTGCTCCGTTTTGTACTGTCTATAGTTGCTTCCTGAACAAGTAAACATTGAATATTTCTTGCATATTTTGATTACATCGACTAATCGATCAGATATTTTCCCCATATTACAGCTAAAATATACAATTTACAAAGCTACATGTTTCTATGAACAGCTGACTGTAGTGATGGTATCCTCATGATGTGGGAAAGAAAAGAGTTACTGGGGGTCATTATCAGCTAAGTTCTTCTACAAGAATTATCCTCTAGGATCGTAATAACAGCTCCACTTTTAGCTCATTTTCTTAAATATTCTATCATACAGAAATGATTTTTGTACGACTTACAGATTAGTCAATTATAAAATTTTGTTGGGCTAACTTTAAGAAATGTTTTCTATGCATGTTGATTTCATCATGGTTGAACAAACTAAATTATTGTTTTTGTTTTCAATGTAAGCATTGTTTTTTTACTTTCAATAAATGACAAAAAAAAGAACAATATTCTTATTCTCATGTTCAAAAATGAAGAATATTCTTTTCTTGACTGATTCAAAACATTATTGTTGTTTTTCATTTGATCTGAAATTTATAGTACAGATACATGTCTTATTACTGATTGTACTTAAAAAATTTTAATCATGAAAAGTATGAATCCGCTAAGAAAGTTGCAAAGATATCTCTGGTACATTGATATGCTTGGAATAAATATTTGTTACAACTCTTATCTAACATTTTTCTCTAATTTTATTTCAAATCTCTGATGATGATTAGATATCTAACGTATTTTCGTATGCAAAATAGTCTAATTAATAGCTAAGCACAATTGAAAAATTCAAATTGATACCAAAGATGATTGTGCATAAAAAGTTATAACAAATCCTGATATCACGTATTCAAGAGTACATGATACTCCATTGCTATTGTCTTAAAAAATGCTTTTTCCTTTAAAGACACAGTCTTGAGAACACACTAATGAGGAAACACCGGGGCATGTGTTGTGTACAAAGTTTCAGGACTTTTAACATAGCTTTTAAGAGGCATGGATTTTTCAAAATATTCATCTTTTCTACAATATCTTAGAAAAAAAGCCTATATTTTGGAAGGTTCATATCTCTTAAAGGCGACGTTAATAAGTCCTGAAATTTTGTACACAACCTAATCTACTTGAGGGATTGATATGAGTTAAGTTTCACATCAAAATTCGATAATACGATTTTACTGAATATCTTGATTCTATGAGAAAAATTTCTGAAAAGTTCGATATCTCTGGAACAAAGGCCTAAGAGAATGAATTCTTTTCAAATTTTCCATACTTTGTCAAGATCTAGTTATGACCAAAAGATGCAGTCAAAACTGCTTACACATGTCGAAAGCTTTTCTCGTAAGTAATCGAACATGTATAAGCTGTATAATTATAGCATGCAATGGGATATGAATCATTTAGTTTTTTGCAGTTGAATAAATAAGTTGTCTTGTGCAGTTCACTATTAAATAGTGAGATTAAATTTGAAGTTCGAACTCCTTCAGAACTAATCTTTCTTAAGCATAGATTTCATTCTCTCTTTCAATGACATGGGCTAAATAAATGCTTTCAAAGGTAGTTCTTTTCCATCAAGTGCATTAACTATTTTGATTTTGATGTGAGTGTCACATTTAAATTCCGTCATAAGCTAAAATGAAAAACTTTTTGTAATAGTTGCCATGAGTACATAGGCAACAAGAGCACTACCAAGTATTAAATGTGTACCTTTTCTCATAAACATAAGGTGGTAAATAATCCTGTATCAGAGGAAGAAACCTAATCCATTTGATAGAATTCTGAAAGGAATTTTTGATTTTATTCTATTTCAATGACCAATTTTACAATATATTGTCTTATCTACTTTCCCTCTTTATCCTTATCGAACAAATATAACTTCGAAGTTTCTTCATACAGCGATTTTTTGTTGATGACTGTGAAGTGTGAATATCTGGTAATTGAACTTAAAAGATAAAAGTTATTTGTTATGGAAAACAAATTGAACTTGACAATATAATTATTATATGTCACTACAATGTTGTAATAGTAGTATTTGTTATAATTTTGACATCGCATACCTGAAATTCACCCAAAGAAGAAATTTTACTTGAATTAAAAGCAATAAATCGAAAAGAGCGAAAACCAGCATTAAATTCAGTAGAATTGAAGATAATCACATATTGCTGTTCATTCAATATCGAATTATGACTTTTTATTGTAATTCCTTTAATTGATCTATAAGTAATCCACCATAGACCATCGAATGATAAGTTAATATCGACATTCTTTTGTATTTCCCACGCATGTCCAATAGTAAGTAAAAAAGACAGATTTGTTCGAATGTATAAAAAGTCCAGAGCAAAAAATTCTCCTTGACTTGCATTTCGTCCAGGACGCCAACAAGTTTTCGGATTGTTATCGACTGCTTTTAAGGTCGTGTAAGATGAGAAAAAAGAAACTTGGGATCCTGTTGGTAAATTTTTTCGTGTACCTCTTTCAAAATCTTTTGAAATATTGAATGAAATTCTTTCAATATCTATTGGAAGAATATTAGTAAAAAATATAAAGTCATCTTTAGGACTAGATGATTTAACGTAATATGGGAAACGACGATTTTGTCTACGTGAAAATCCTATATAATTTGTATCATTCGATTGATTTTGACGTAGATTATGTTCTAGAATACGAATAGCTAAAACTGAACTTTCATATTGATATTGCAAGAATTTTGAAGTCGATGAAAATGATGCACCAGCATTACTGGCAGGTAGATTACGAATATTCATATTGAATTGTGATGGAATATCATTGAGCCAAATAGAAAAAAATACATCACTAAAGTAAATCAAATCTATTGATTAAAATTATATTATCATATCTGACTCTTTCATTATTTTATTCACTTACGACGATTATTTTTCAAATAAAATTGTAAGTATTGAATATGTCGTTGAGCATATTCACGTAAGAAAACACTCCCACAACCAATCCATGAAAAACCAGCATGTAAATCAATTTCATTATCGAAATAACTCCACATGAAATTGGCATAGAATGTACCTGCGTCGGTAACAGAATGCAAAATATATGGATCATTTCGAAAGTCAGCTATGAGACTTTTCAAATAGAATGATGCATCCCAATCATCATCGACATAGAAGCAACCCATAGTGTTTGCTTCAGCACATGCACGATATTTGGCTTCATCTTTAAGATTCTCTTTTGAATTGATTATACGAATAGAATCTAATGAATGGTTATTTTTTTTAAATATAGTTTTAGTAAGATTTATGTTTGGATTATTATTCCAAATGATAATTTCTTTGAAAAGATTCGAATCAAGTAAATAATTTACGGCTCTTGCAACACTTTCTGATCGTTTCCAATGAAGTAATATGGCAGTTAGATTATACTTTTGTTCAAGTTCTATTTCGCGTTGCTTCGATTGTAAAAATTCAAATTCACTGAAACCAATGTTGATATAATCACCATCAATGAATTGAACATGATCCCTATTAGATTTATTTGACGTACTACTTGAATTTTGTGTGGTATTGATAAGAAAACAATATATTTGAATAAGAATCAGTAGTGTAAGTAATAGAATAAATGTAATCGCATGTTTGTGTTGCATTGTCATAATAAATTGATATATAACTGGGCATAGAATAAATGTCTAAGGTAGAAATTATTGTACGGTTAGAAATGTTTCTCTCTTCAGATATTCATAAAGGAAACTCATATATGAATAGAATCGATGCAATAAGTTTGCCTTAGATTATATCGATCTAAATGAAACGAATATCAATTATCTGATGCATCACTCAACAGTTGCTCAGTATCCAGAAAAAACCGGTATCAACATGAACCATTTATGATTTTAGGGAAGATGCTTAACTGTTGAAGGTTTCATTTGTTTATTAATGAGATATACAAGGTTCAACATAATTTAAAGAACCATGCCAAATAAAAATTGGTTCCACTTTTTTAAAAGATCACACAATTGAAATGATTTCGCAGAAAGGTATGATTCATCTTTTCTTTGTACCACTTTTTAGTAATACAAACCGATCAGGTGTCAAGCGGTCATATATACTGTGCAATGCAAATTTTCCTAGTTTTCTCGAGGTATAAGTCAAAACAAGTAAAAGGACTGTACATCAGATCTCCGAACCCTTCAAGGAGAACAGATTCAAAACCATATGGATTTTGATCGTTTCATCGATATCATTATGTTAATAAAGTCTTGAAACTTGTTGCTGAAAACTTTCATAGGTATGTTCGCAATAAATAGGGAGATACAGACTACACTGAAACACGTACACGACGATAGCAGTTATCGATATGAGTAGAAGAGTTGTATACATCTACTGGTAGCCATTGATAAAAGCTATGAAACTGCAGGAACCGGTTTCAAGACTTGTTTATTACGATAGTATTGTTGAAACGTTCAAAATCCATATGGTTTTGTACGAGTTCTCCTAGAGGTTCTCGAGATACCTGCTGTATAGGTCATTTTTTCGCTTTGATTTAATACTTGAGGAAAGTGGGAAAAACTGCATTGAACAGTATATATGACTGCTTGACACCTGATCGTTTTGTATCTTTAAAAATTCGCACAAAGAAAAGACGAATGTTGCCTTTCTGTGAGATGTTTCCGATTGTATGAAACATTTACGTAGATTTCTTATCGATTGGTATTATAGTTGAATCTCACTGGAATACATATAGAAAACACTTCTACACATTTGAGGATATTTGGGCAAGAAAAAAAAAACAATTTTGTCATATATAGAGAGGGTAAGATATGGAAGATGGCTATGCATCCCTTTCACTGGGAAAATACTTTTTTAATATTCAACGCTCAACCTAAGCCTTATTTGAATATGTTATTGATAATCAAAGAGTGAAATTGCATATAAACGATATGCTTCTAAAGATACTTCAGGTAAAACGCTTTTCAAATCCTGGCGACACCACATACTGACAAAAGCCTCGCTTTGAAATGATGCAAAACTAAGTCATCGAAACTACCCCTAGTGACCTCTTTCTGATACTTTTTAGAAGGTTACAATTTTATTTGAGTCGGGCATGAAAATAGCAATCTCAGCGCCTGTTATGTAACCTGAAAGGTTCAAAGCTGGCCTCATCTAACGAAATAAGTTCAATCCTAAACTCAAACGAACTTTGGCAGCATAAGTAATAAAAAGTATGATAATAGTGTAAATAGGAAAAGTATGTGACAGTAAAAGTAATAGAATGTACTTTTTCTCTCCTGTTGTTGCAACCATTTTTTAAGCTAAAAGACAAAGGCTCAAAATAGAAGCGGATTTTGCTACGGCTTTAAAAGGTTCAAAAAATGGTATCTAGATCTAGAACCGTAAAAGGTGTAGTCTGACATTTTTTTCTCAGAGAACATCGCTTCGAAATCTACAATTGGAATTGTGTAAGGTTCAATATCAGTTTCCCAAAACTGCTATCCTTTGTCTTTCTCTTCATTGAAGACGTTTCCTCTTTCATACATGATCGATTTCAAGTTCTGAAGAGAAAGGATACAGGTAGTCTGTCATACTATCATAGTTTCACCACCACACTAAACTACTTCATATGGGCTAAGTGGATTCTCTATTCGCCGTCACTGGTGATGTTTGGAGGACATATATGCTTAATAAGGCTGATATCGGCAAAAACATATTATAATGCTCAATAAATGTGCTTATACTGTTTCTGGATGAGATTTTGAGATTTTTTTCCATATAGCACAGCAAAAGGTGGTCAGAAATCGCTTTGGGCGAAAAAAGTTGTCCGCCTAAATCTAAGATGATAAAGATTTCCACGTATTTCTACCGAATTAAAGGATAGTCGTCAAAGTGATGGTATGCCTCGTAGACTCATGGTTTGCCTATAAATAGATGAACGCTGGATGAAGATAACTTCCAGAAAGCTGATTCAAACACCGCGATGTATACTGTTCACAATACTTTGTTTTTTCATCGTCAACGCCACACAGTGGCTTTTTGTTCTAATGATAAATCAAGAATGTATTTTGAAAAATGTATATCCGAATGCTCGAAGAGTTTTTTTTCATGTCATGCTAGTCTTCTGTCCAGTAACAAAAATAATATAAAAAGCTCGTAAAAACGTGTCAAAACATTGACCGCAATGAAATCCCAGAAACTACACGGTTTTAAGCATTCAAAACACATCAAGACTTTCGAACAAATATGTATTCTTTCACAATTTTGAGCGCGATATAAACGCGAAAAAACATGCGATTTTTATAATTACAGTTTCCTTCCAGAAGTCTAACGTCTTTTTACACGTTCAGTTTTCAAATTGGATGCGTCTCTAACGAGAAGCTTCATATTACATAGATCTAAGTTGCTTGAAGTAATATTTAGATGAATACTTAAAATTTCTACCTTGTTACTATCTTGTAAGAAATGACTGTGATTTAGTTCGGTCCATAGGAACCTGTGCCAAATTTAGAATTGTGTATAGTTCTAAATTTCATGTGGATTTTTGTGGATCAACATCAAACTAACAAAAGCACTTGTTACAAGATGGTAGCAACCTAAGCAAACAAGGATTTGTGAAAATGCACTCATCAAAGTCGTTGATTCCGGTCGCTACCGTTCATATCCATCGACTTTTCTGCAGGATCCAGTAAAATAAACATGAAATTAGAAAACAGTATTTCGACCGATGAAGCCATCGTATCGGAAACAATGATTTCGCTGTATTATTCTGAAATTTGTCCAAACCCAACCGGAAAGTATAGACAATGGCGCGAAACTCAACGGAACAACGCAAAGATTCGACTGAAAACACCTCAAAACTCATCGAATTCAACTAAAGCGTATTGCTCTGATGATCAATAGATCCATCAATATGTTCTCGTTCAATAACTAATCGAGAAAACCATTGATTTAGAAGAAATAATAAGGAAACCAAAGCCACCATAACAAAAACAACGATTTAATAAGACTGCACCAGCGTAATAAGCAGATAAATTAGCCAGGCTCCTGTCGGAAAATCTTCAAAAACTGCAGGAAACTGAACGGAAAAACAAAGCGATCCGTCGAAAGTGACTTGGAACGGCACGTATGCAGCTCAATTACAATGTATAGAATCCATCGAAGCACGCATCATATTGTCCCATAATAACATATCTACATTACAGAAAATGATCCGTAGGAATCATTTCAGCTACTCTCATCGAGGTGCCAGAGAAACAAAGCAAACTCCGCTATTCACTGTAAACCTTCCAAATTCTCCGGTACCTAGACCACAAGCTACTAACTGTAGAGAGACAATCTATCAGAGTTCTCATGAAAACCGCGACCGACGGAACAATCATCGAAGTACTTGTGAGGCTTTTTCCCAAAAAAAACTCATTAAAATTACATTTTCGAAGTAATAATCTATACAGGCTTTCTGAGATGCTAATTTTTGCACTACAAGACGCACCCAAATGATGTGCAAATATTTGGAAAGTGAATACTCTCATAAGAAGTATAGACACCTTTATAGTACAAAATGAGCACGATGATCATGCAAAACATCAAATATGCCCACTTTCGCTTGGGATCTCTCAACTCCTTCGAACAAAATGCTAATTTCGGCATCAAAGGATAAGCAAAACCGGTTTCTAGAACTCTGGAAAGTGAAGAGTTTGTGGGAAGTGCGAACCCTTTTATAATGAAAAAAATAGCATTTCAATGATAGAAGCAATCAAATATGCTGATCGCTTGTGGACGACTGTTCTTTCAGCTCGGCGATGCTGTCTGTTTGATTGAAAGATGCAAGAGAATGATTCACAAGGTCTTGGAAAGAGAAGAGTGTAAAAGAAGCTACAGGATCCTGACTGTGGAAGTGACGGAATTTCACCCGTACGAGACATTTATGATAGATGAATGAAGTCTTACTCCGAAACCATGCTAAAAAGGAGAACCGGATCTGGACATCGTTTCTAAGTGCAGGAAATAGCAGACACTGAGCCTGAAATGGAGGCTAGGATGAGCTTGTTAGCATCAGTGGTGGATCACACTAACGCTAAACGAAGATTAATATGCGCCTTCTAGTCTAACTGGCTTCGGACAACTGCCCGGATAGCAGAAGGTGTGGGTTGGATCCCCACGAAGGTCATATTTTTCTTCGTTCTGCCACATAACATCAATGACACTGCTTGTCCTTTCGTTCTATACATATTAGAGCTAACAGAGCTTCGAATCTGGCCTCCAGAAATCGATGGGAGTCTGACAGATCCGGCCATTTTATGGCGTACGTTCTTCATTTTGGTAACCTCAATAACCACGGTTCCCGCATGAGTGTTTTTATATCCATTTAGCGAACACCAGAGCCTGGTATATTTATCATCAGAGATGCCTAAAAACGTCTTAGAAGGCAAGTTTTGCATCTGGTAAATGTGCAACATTTTTTTTCTCATCATATTTTGACATGTTTTATAGGTAAAGATAATTTTTCTATGTGTGGTATCTCTGAAGAATATTGTGAGAAAACTCTTTGAATATTTTTCATGTGTAGATATTTCCTTTCCAAGCGTCTTTGCATATCTTTTATGATGAAGTAGCTGTTTTTTTTTGTTTTCTTCATGGACATCAAAATAATCACGAGGGAACTACTCCAACTGATTCCGAGCTTTCGACCTCATCTTTTGGCTACCGGTAGGCCTCAGTGAGACTAAGAAAACCCTAAAAGCGTTCGTTCCCATGGCATATTAGTAAAGAGTTATGGCCGTTTTACTGGATTTTTTTACTCGCGACAGGGTATTTCCGAAAACCTTAAAACAAATAATTTTGAGTTGAAATTTTTTCCAGAGAGAGATCTATCAGTTATTAGAAAGTCGTGAAAATTTCAAAGGAAAAGAACGTGTATTTCTCGAGATATTCATTTTTCAAAACAAACAGTCTCTTATTACAGGAAGACCAAATTGCGAAGTTGATTGGAAATTAAATATTTCAAGAAAGGCATGTTCATTTTCTTTGAAACTTTCAGGACTTTCTAATAACTAATAGAGCTATCTATAGGGAGAATTTTAGGTCAAAACTATTTGTTTTAAGGTTTTCAGAAATACCCTGTCCGGAGTAAAAAATCCGGTAAAACGGCCATAACTCTTCACTAGTACGTCACGAGAACGAACGCTTCAAGGGTTTTATTAGTCTCACTGGAACCTACTTATAGCCAAAAGATGCAGTCGAAAGGTCGGACTTCGTTGAAGTGGTTCTCTCGTCAGACAACCACCGGAACTAAGCAGTTTGGAAGCCTTTTCAAAAACTCTTTTTTTCCTTTGGTATCAGTGATTGGACAAGTATCAGTACAGCAAGTACAAGTATAAATACTTGGTACTTAAAAAATGTACTTTGGACTTTACTTAGATACTTTTTACCACAGTACATTTTAAGCAGTACGTGTAATAAGTACAACTGTACACAAGTAAAGTAAAATTAAGTACATTGGAGTACTTACAACTATAATGAGGGGTAGATGTACACCTAACACATTGATATTGGTATTTGGATGTAAACTTCCCCACAAAATAAAAGCCCACTGAGCTTCTATTTTGTTTTAAAAATTATAAATCTGAATATGGGCTTATATTGCGATTAACGTTTTTCTTATTGCAGCTAGGATTTTATCAGCTTACAAGCACAGAAGTGCTTAAAATTTACAAACAGAATGTTTAAGTTGTCTGAAAACTTTCGGAAGAACTATCATAGTTTCCTAGAGACCATAAACTGGCAAGCACTTATTTTTCTGTTCCATACTATCGAACCGAGAAAGTAATGCGTTGTCTACACTAGATTTCATATTAACGCACTCATCTACCTCAAGATTTCGTGGGACTTGCTATGATACGAAAAACTGTGATTAACATGACACTTTGATTTGGGTAATTGTCAAGCTTTGAAAGAGTTAAAAAGAAATTTCCATTAGACATGTACAAATATAGTTCTATCGAACGACTTTATCATGAGCGTTTATGCATACTTCAGATATGAAATATGTGACGCGATATATTTTAACTACCACAACAGAAAGTAATATAGAAGTAAATCTTTGACTATAGAATAAGAATTTCCTATTTTTGAGAGAGAGAGATAATATAGATCCTATAAGTGTTATAATAATCGATATCGCACGATCACTCATTGATATCTGTTTTTTATTCTAAATGAATTCTCGCATAATTGATTTCGATGATAGTTCAACGTTTTGAGAAGTCTCATTTTCATTGAAAGACCTGCTCATAGTGCTGCCAAGTAAGCAAAATTTCCATCATTTAGTTTTCCAACTCTACATAATCTCCTAAGAGGAAGAAACCTAACAGAATGATATTATTGCATGTCTAATTTCTATCCAATAGTCTTTAGACAGCTATGATTTAGTAATACATATGCCTCGCATTTTTCAATTCTCGATCGAAGTTCATGTGTTTGTTGGTAGAAAATATATACAAAATAAAGTCAATAAGGCATATAAATTGAGCTATAGCTAAACAGTGAGGATCAATGAGATAATCGATCCAGTTTTTTAAATCCTCTGTTTTATGTTCATTTACACAGAGTATGTTTCTAATCTGTCCACAAAATTGTAAACGCAGGACTGGGCTTCTATTATACGGTCGGCTTAAGGGTGTGGGTTGGTGTGGGTCTTCTTTTCATCTACACCAACATTCACACTGACAACCACATACCCTCGTAAATTCGGTATATCGTTATATAGAAAACAAGTTTCACAAATAGATATAAAAAAATAACATTGGTATGAATAATCAAAACTGAATAACAAGAAAAAATCAAACGAAATGAATTTATGAAGTGTAAATTAAAATGCTATGAATATTATGTAGATACTTCTGAGAATATAATTTATATTTACTAATACATAAGGATATATTGACAACTAATTTAAGTATATTTTGTACTCAAAATACTAGTACTGCAGTAAATAAGTACTAAGTACTAAGTACCGGTACTTCAGCCTAACCTTGCAGTACAAGTAAATTTATTTGTACTGCAAGAATGTACTTAAGTACTTGAGATTATTAAGTAAAAGTATCGAAAGTACCAAGTATTTTACTGAGTATCCAATCACTGTTTGGTATCCCTAAGAAACTCATCTAACTATTACATATTCTGTGGAGGTAATATATATAAAGGTTGGTATATTTCACAGATTTCTGACGACTATGAGCTTTTGCATTTTTCGAATATGTCAACTTTGGCATACAGAGAAAAAATATATTTGTAACATTTAAGCACTCATTGAAAATTCACCCCACTCCATTGACATCATTATTAATAAAGTGTATTATTGGAAAGCATGATAAATTTATTAAACAAATTTGTTTTCAATAGTTTTTTTTATTAACATAAGACAAGTATCAATCGTGCACTGATTGTGAGTCATTTTTATCATTGTGTTCTCACGGAGCCTAATGCTAAAACAGGTTTAGACGTAGCTCTTTTACATAGTTAAGATAAAAATATTACGAAAAATAGTGAGAAACAAAGAAGGAGGGCAGATAAGACCGAATTTTTGCACTTCTTCCGAATTGATTTATTTCTATTAGGTTTCAATATGGGACGACCCTGCTCCTTTATTTCAGGTTTATTGTGGAAAAAATGGCATCATCGTTTTTGGTCCCTGGGGTTCCCCTCACAGGTATCGTCGAAAACAAAATTTTGCTTTTCACTGATCAAAATCAAATCTGCTGATTACAAATATCATAATAAGACCTCTCAAAACTCCTTTCTTCCTCATATAGTCTGGAGGACAATCTAGACCCCATCTTTCATTGTTGAGCCCTCGTAAAATAAATATTCTTGAAAGTTTACTGGAAAATACTTTTTCTAACTCAGAATTTCGTTTCCCGTGCAAATCTGAACTTTTTACAAGAAAACGAATCACCTTGAAATAAAAAGCTGCGATTCCGGTGTAGAAAATGGTCACTTTTTATGTAAATAGATATTTATCTTCCTTCTTTGTCATGAAAGGAGTTTGACTGCAACGTCAAATTCTGCTCATAAGGATAGTTTTTCGAGTTTTACCGACTGGAGACCTGAAAAAGATGAGAAAAATTGTGCAACTGAGTCAAAAATTAAGAATAGTAAAAAGTTTATAAAAATGCTGTGCGGGACCACAGCCATCAGTATAGATGAGATCTTGAAGTCAATTGATATATAATCCATCTTGTAGAGTCTCATGAACTATGCATACATGAAAAATATCTTCGATCTCTGCGCTTTCTTTCGTCTCGAAAATTCGTGTGAAACTTCATATGGTACTATGATCCGCGCAGCTTGTAACGCGCATTTTTCAATGGAAGGAAAGCACACAGATCGATGATATTTTGTCTGTATGCATAGTTCATTAGGCTCTACATCATGGACTATATATCAATTGACTGCAAGATCTCACCTATACTGGTGTCAGTGGTCCCCCACAGCATTTTTATAAATTTTTACTATTCTTAATTTTTGACACTGTTACACAACGTTTCTCTTATTTTTGAGACCTCCAGTCGATAGAACTTGAAAAACTATCCTTATGAGCAGAATTTGACGCTGCAGCAAAACTCTTTTCATGACAAAGTAGGGAAATAAATATCTATTTACATAAAAAGTCACCATTTTCTACATTGGAATGGCGGCTTTTTATTCCAAGGTGATTTGTTTTCGGCGTAAAATGTTTAGACTCGCAGAGGAAACGAAATTCTGAGTTAGAAAAAGTATTTTCCACTAAGGGGCCCAACAATGAAAAATGGGGTCTAGATTGTCCTCCAGACTATGTGAAGAAGAAAGGAGTTTTGAGAGGTCTTATTATGATATTTGTAATCAACACACTTCATTGAATATGAACATTTGGTTGTGATCGGTGAAAATGAAAATTTTGTTTTCGGCGATATCTGTGAGGGGGGGGGGGTCCAGGGACCAAAAACAACGATGCCATTTTTTCCGAAATAAACCTGAAATAAATGATGAGGAGTCGTCCCATATTGAAACCTAATAGAAATAAATCAATTCAGAAGAAGTTCAAAAAATTGGCATTATCCGCCCTTCTCCTTTGATAATATTATTTTCCAATGTTTAGTAATAATGCAACTTCTTAAGAAGGATGTCAGTCGAGTGCAGTAAATTTTGATTGATAGCTTAGATATTATTTTTAATCATATATCTTCTACATCTGCTCAAACAATTTTATATATATTCGGAAAATACAGAAAAATCAAACTGTGCCCGAAACTTATGAAATACTATATATCTATAATGGAAGTTCATTAATTATATCTAACTTTACACACTAAGATAAAATGACTCTAATGTATTGTACTTTGCAATACAATGTACGGTGCATTAAAGTGCAAAACATTTTGAACAATGTGGTTCAAGTCTACCCTTCGATATGTCAGTTATTTCCTCTAGAAAATCGAATAATTACTACTTTTCCCATTTAATTTGAATTAGTAGTGCCTATTATTGGAGCCCAATATGATAAGATCCTAAGATTCAGCCACCTCGAGTCAGTTTGATCTCGATTAGACCACTTTAAAATGGTCAAATCTCTATCATTGGTCTATCTTCCAACATATTCTCGAATAAAGCTTAATCGAAAAATAACCTAGAAAAAAAAGTACGAAAATGCATAAGTTTACTGTATTTTATTGGCACAGTTGTATATAGCTGTACATGCAAAACAAAACGATGAATGAATGAATGATTACCCAATAGACCATGACACATGCTGACTGCGACACATTTTATTTTGGTGTGTAGCTATTGGTTTCTTCCTCTTCTCTGCTAGCGTGAACGGAAAAACTGTAAAATGACAATTTTATTTTGCTCTAAGCAATACATAGAAAGAGAAAAGACTGGCATTATAGATGACATTCGATAGCGTCGTAGGTATCTGCATTGCCTATACTGGACTAAAATATTTCGATGAAACACTGAAAATTTAAAAATTGGCTTGTGTTCATCTGCAGTGCATCTCAAAAGTCTCGTACCACTTTTTTGTTTCGAGTTGTGGATTAGAACTACAATACATTAGTTTAGTGTGATTATATACCTGAATAGCACATATAAAGTACTATCTTTGTACACCTATTTCATACGAAAAACCCTTGAATATTACAATATAATGAAGCCAAACAAACTTCAGTACTAAGAGAAAAACTATATAAAAAAAGACAAAATGTTAATAAAAGTGTTTGGAAGACTTTTTAATCTTGCAAGAGGAATTGTTTATACAGATTTTATGGAGCTTTCGACGGCGCATCTTTTGAGAAAAATCAAGGTGCTATCATTTTCTAAAGGCCAAGTCACATGCAAAACATAATAGCCTTCCAAATATTTTTATTATGTCAAGTACGGTGGAAAGTGGTACTATCATGTATTTTATTTCATGTCCAGTGTGGAAGAAAGCCTCTGAACAATGCAACAGGGATTCATTCTTACAGTTATTGTAGACCTTATCACGGCGCATCTTTTGAAAAAAAAACAAGATTTTGTCAGTTGTCTATACAGAGATATTCGCAAAACACACTATGCTTCAGCCATATTGAGACATCCGATATTTCTCAGTGTTTAATATTTTGACTATAATACCGCTATTTCTGAATGAAACCCAATACGTCTTTTTTAACCTAAATAATCAGCAAAAAGAGCTCTACAAAAACTGATGGGCTGAAATGTTTTCTGAATACTTTGTGGTTTTCTCCGGTTGTTTAATCATGGAAGTGTCCTATATCAGCAATATCATTTTGTCTTTTTTTAAGTTATTTTTTTCTTAGTACTGAGATTTGTTTGTCTTCATTGTATTTAATACTCAAGGATTTTTCGTATGAAACGGATGTATATAGGTAGTACTTAAAATGTGCTATTCAGGCATATAATCACAAAACATTTATACATTGTAATATTAATATACGACTGAATACAAAAGCAAATTTTTTGTTCTACGAGCGCCTAAGTTTTCATTTTCATTGTTACTATTCGCTCATTATTTTTCGTTTTTTTAAATTCGTTTTTCTTAATTTATCATTCTTATTATTATTATCGTTGAATTGATTGACAAATAAGTGTGTTTTACAAATCTATAATATCTACTGCAGATCTTACACACTCTCATATATATTAATCAATTCGCAAATAATGTTGCTCATTATTTTTCAAAATTATAACTTGATCAATTTTCCAAAAAAGCTCTGGAAAATCTAACATTTTTTATTCTGGATTGCTACGGTCTGTAATAGAAGGGGGGGGGGGGTGGGGTGCCTTTTGNCATTTAAATGTTCATAATTACTTATATAACTAAGAATATGTTCAAAATTTCTTGCCTCATGATCAACACCTCGAGTATCACCAACACCTGGTCCATCAATTAAACGTATTGATCGATTTCCTATTGGAAATATATAACTTCGACATAATTGAGTTGATGATTGTCCATCAGTTTCACAATTTTCATTATCATTTGGAGTTCCAACAAGAATTTTTGTACTTTGAAATGTTTCACTGTCTGTTACTGCAAATGCAGAAGGGATTAAGACTTTTAATTCACTTTTTAATGCATCATCAAGTGTATTATAAAAAAGACAATTAAGAAATGCATTAATAAATGTTGTCTTACCAACACCAGTTTGACCTAATAATAATATGTTTATGTCTGTTTCTGGTGAATCTCGACCACGACGATTAAAAGACATTTTTATATATCGTAAATAAAAATGTTATTGCTTTTTAAGATAAAGTTTTTTTTCTTAATAGTTGGAAATTTTTCCTTTATTTTTGTTCTTATGCAATGCTCTTTACTTCCTCGGAACAAAGTCTTTGTCTTTTCTACTTGTTTTTTTAACGATAAGACATGCGACATGTTTTGTTTTGCTTTATTTTTTCAAAAGATTATTGTTGTTTGATTACACGTACTTGACGAGAAAAAACAGCGACATGCGAACAGACCGTGTTTTTCGACAGGGTGACGTGTTAAAGTTTCGAATTTTATAACAAGAAAAATACCATTTTCAGCACAGCTTATCATACTTTATATGTAACAGTTTTTTTTTTAAGTAAATACATACTAATAACATGAATCATTATATCTATGAGAAGAGATTTTACTAAAACCATGGTGTTAGTAACATCATATTTTATTTTCACAGGAATTTTATTGATCATAATTAAAATATCTGATTAAATATGCAATGATATATATATAGAAAACTTGCTATTATTATTTACTCTTCGATTACATTTATATTTTTCATGTTTCATTTTATTTCATCATTTCATTAACGATAAACTTCGATGTTTACGAAAAGAATTATGTTTCGTCGATATTTTAGATGTAAAAAATATTAAAATAATTCTTTTTCTTGACATGATTTTCGGATAGTCACAGAGGATTCTCTTTTTACTTATAAAAATTTATTCGAATTATGGAAAAAACTTCTCAGAAAATTTTCTGAACTTTTTAAATCTCAACTCACATTTGATTTTTCTTGAATATATTATTTTAATTCAAATTTCTTCATTACTTTGATGATACAATCTAATCAGTTATCTTAATTGAAAAAAAATCTATGTTTTACATTTTTTAACAGTAAAAATTCGTGTTTTTCTCTAACATCAGCAGATTAAATAATTTATCTTTTGGAAATTTATTTTCCTTTTCGATTCATTTTTCGTTCAACTACTACAATGAAATAATATTTGATATGATAAAAAATGTTTTGAGGATTATTTTTAACTAATGAGCCGGCTTCCCACTCCGCCTCTTTTTCCGGAAAAAATTAAGTGTTAAAGAAAAATAGTCGATAATGTTGACTTGTTCAAGTGAATCAATATGCTTATAACCAATAAGGCCAATAATAAGGTTGAAAATGGACCTTGAGTACACACTGAGAGAGCCAAATAGACACAAACTCCAATCCGAAACATTTTTTAGTAAATTACTTTTGGCTTGGTATTTCATCGGAATAGCTGAGATCAATATTTATCGATTTTGAGATTTAAAAATACTAAAATAAATTGCAACATAAAAGTTTGAAAATTAGATGCTTGACCGGAACAACAAGACAGCTTAGAGTATGAACTTAAACACGATTTTCGATAATTGAAATTCAAGAATCTCGACTGCAAAATTGTGGAATCTGCCATCAAAATGATCATCTCTGCTGGGGTAGGAAAATCGTTTCCAAGACGTAGCCGATTAGGAAAGCAACAAAACACGATTTTTCCCGATAAATCTCCGAAAATTTCGCCAGAAAAAAAAGTTTCCCAAATGCTCGTTCGCACGCAGCAGTAGATTTTGCATCTCTGATCGCCTCGAAGATGAATTAGTGATAACCTGTAACTAATTTTGTAAAAACTCGCCGCGTCATGTAGCTTTAAAGAGGTACAGTTTTCCTGCTCTTAGAATAATTTTATGAAGAAATCGTCAAAACTGAACCGTAGTGTACTCAAGATTCAAATTCTTTTTCACGTACTATTCTTCTTGTATGTTACTCAATTTCAATTGAATTCCAAATTATGTTAAGTCTTTATAATTGATCAGAATTAGTATTGTTGTGTTCTCAGGAAGGACTTTCGATAACGTGGTAAAAATTCTAGTCACCAATTTGAGAGACGAATTTTGAAAGCTTTGTTTTGAGTTGAATTTGTGGTATTTTCTTGTCTTATAATTATGTACACCCTAATACGTCGTTTTTTTGTTTATGTTAGTTCTTTATGCTCTCGTGCGTTTTAAGCTGAACACATTCTGAATATTTAGTGTTTCTTTTTTAATTTCTTTTTCTTTGTCTACGACCATTTGGGTAAAGTGATATCACAGTCAAGTACTTTTGAAGTAGATCCAGTCCTTTTTGTCTATTTTTTTGTAGTTCTCTTTTTCTGAGCTCGGTGGAAAAAAAACGGCCGCAAATGCGAACAACTAAAACTCGTTTTTTTTCTTTCGAGTTTCTCGAATCTGTATTGAATCCAGATTAACAGCGCTCTAATTTTATTCACTTTTATATTGGAATAATTCAACTTGAAAGAACAACGTGAAAGTCAAATTGCGCTATTACTTCTCACTGAGAGCACAGAATCAGTAAGTTCAATCTTTCAATAAGTCACTAAAAAGTACTACACTGTAGATAAAAGTTTGAAACCAAAAGCATTCTCGTTTTCCAATAGGTTATTCTGAAGGGAAAAGGACGATTCTTCTGAAAAAAAAATACAACTATCAAGCTATGTATCATTTTGTGACTCACATTCATATTTTCTTCTACTAACGAGAAGTACCAGGAGTTTTGTGAAAACTAAGCTCTATTCAAAAAAGATGTATTTTTCCCTGTCTTTATTTCTCTTGCGGCCTAAGATTTTTATTTATGCAGCCTATTTCTGACAGTTTATTAGCTTGTTTGAGTACATGTATCAGTCTCACAACTTGATTATTGATTAAAACCAGCTCAAGGGTGACGTATGATTCAGTGTCAAGTCTCCCATAAGTCGAAATAGTCTCTATGTTAATCACTCTCTATAACATATAAGTCACGTATGCCGAAACCTTACATTTGATCAATACAATATCGATGTGTCTGAAAATATCTAGTATTGGACAGCTATGAATGAACGTAGCGGCGAAAAACGAGCGGATCTACTTATTTCATGATAACTTAGTTTGGTATCAACTGACTTTACTGTTTTAATAACAAAAACGATGAGAATTTCGGTGTTCTAAACAGTACAATAAATAGTGCAGACATATCTCTTGATGATAAGCAATATAATAATAATGATGATAATAAATTACGGAAAATGAAATAGTAAACAGAAAATCAGTAACGGGCGAATAGAAACAACATTAATAAAAAAGAATCAAAGAAAATATTCTAGTCAAAATTTGAAGATAAGAAAGAAAGCTCTCTGACGATCATTGATCGTTAGAAAGTAACTAATTTTTATTGGAGATTTTTTAATTAACATATTTTATACGTATTACTAAAAATAAACCTAAATAAGATATATGAGTTTCACCTTTTAGTCCCAAAGAGGCTGCACTAGCAAGCTGTCTCATCTATGTTTGTTTTATAGATTTCCAATTTTGTTGGTTTTTTTTTACAATATCTTGTATCAGTAGATGTGACACAGTTCACAATATGCAACGAATAATTTATGGGTCAACGTTGATCTTGACGAAAGTAAATCTACTTATCGTTGTGATTTACTAAATGAATTAACGTGTAACAAGTAGAGTGTTGATAACATTAGGATGCTTAGTAAAAAGTGCAATATATTCGTTAAGGTCACTTTCAGTAGCATAAAAATCCATAGATTATTGACAAATCATCTTCAATATGTATAGTTATTTCTAGAGCAGTTTTGTCGGAGCTATAATTCTTAGCGTAATTTGTTTTTACATTTCGTGCATGAGATATGCTAATGGATTTCGCAAGTTAAAACCTGAACGTGTTATTAAATTGTTCCGAATAGCATTCAAAATAAAACATATTTTATTGATTTATTACAAAAGACTTGATTGTGTAAAAAGTTCATTATCTTTTTAAAATGTCTGCCAATAGTACAAATGAACCTAAGATTTAGAATAGAAACTTGATAAAAATAACTTGAACTGTAGAGAATGAAAACCAAATTTCAACCAGTTTTGGTGTAGAAAAGTCAAACAATTAGAATAAATATGCAATACATGTACTTCGAAAATGAATTCAAGAGAATCATATGTATAATAAAATAGAAAGCAACAGCAATCATTACATAGAACATATATTGGATAGCGTATAAGGCAACGAAAGGTCTCAGCATTATACTTGACGATGATTCTAGATTTCGAAATAAAATATATATCGATCGGTACAAAATGTGTTTTAATTGTTGTAACCAATGAATATTTTCAGCTGATTGCAGCATCTAAAAATAATAAAAAGATGACGACAAATCAGTATCTCTATTGTAAAAGTTAGTCTCACTGAAACTTTAATCGATCGGTTAATTTGTCTGCAATTGGATGAGGAAAAAATATGATATAAAAAATCATTATCTTCAACAAATTGCCAAGAGATATCAATAGGAAATTCTGGATTACGATAAATATTTCGTGCAATATTAGGAAATATTAAATAAGTATAAAAATATGTACTTCGTAAATGTTCAAATCCATAAATAAAACGAAACATGTCTTGTATTGAATGAAGATAGTTTCTATATGATATTCGTTCAATAAATGGAAAAACATAAACTATTTTTTTCATAATATAGTTTTTATTTTCATAATTAAGACTTATATCAAGTTCACGAATTTGTTCAAATTGATAATATCGTATTTGTTTAATCATATCCATGGTCAGATCATTCAAGATTGTTAATTTACATATACGAGGTAGTAATTGTTCAAATGGCATCAATTTTAATAGATCAACTAGTGACAATATAAATAAATGTTTCACTTGTCTTAAATCAATAATAGATATAAGTTCTTCATGTGAAATTGAACATTGAAGATTCAATATTTCGATATGTGTATATCGAATTTGATTTTGAGTAGGTATTGCTTCGATAGTTAATTTCGTTATACTCTCATTGACATATGTTATATTAGGCGCTGTAGTATAGACATATGTAGAAGAAGATATTATCATATGAATTGATGCGATTCGCGAGACTGTAAATAGACAATTATTTTGATATGCTACAAACCAATGTTTTTCTTCTAGCCAATATGGTGTACGGAATGAATGAAGAGTTCTTTCATTTAGATCAAGATTTGTATTGAATTTGAAATTAAATGTAATGAGATTTCTAGTTAATATTTGCCATTGTTGTCCATCAGCAAGATTTCTACCATTAGCATTCACTTCAAAATGTTTGAGATAAGGTAAATTTAGTAGTAGTTGTTCCAATTGGTTTATTGACACAGAATAATCTATACAATAGATATACATGCAAATGATCAATAGAAACTACATTTCTATATGCTGGAATTCAAATTGCTCAAAAGTATACGGTAAACAACTGTGATTCAGTTGTTTACGATATGCATCGAAGTCGAACGTTCGGCAATCATTTTCAGTTAATTAATAAAAGTAAATAGAAGTAAACCAAAATCAAAAGGATTTGAGACGTGGCTGTGCTAGATCTAAGAACAGTGGAACACATAATCCAAAAAAACGAAGGTCTACGGACATACTAAAAACAATCAACAATGTTCAGAATTTTTCGAACCCGAACACCGAGCTAAAGTTTGAATTCAGCGCATGTCTAAACTGAAATCCAATGAGAAAACAAGAAAAACAAATTCGAATAGTCTTTACTATCTTTTTGATGTTAGCCTATGCTAATCATAGTTTGTATTGTGACTTAAATTAAACTATATTTATCATTCAGAAAAGAATAAAAGCAAAATATTTTTTCAAAACTGTCATCATCGAAAATTTATTTGAATAAAATCTGATAAAACTTACTCTCAATTGTCAGATTTAATCGAATTAATTGAACCGATGATAAGACAATCTGAGAAAACTGATTCTCAAATCGTAGACAAACATCGAGTGATTTGAGTTGTGGTGTATGCTGAAAAATCGCTTCAAGTTGATTAAGTGAACATTTTTTTAGTTTTAAATGATGAAGATGAGGCAGTGATATCGATTTCAAAAGATCACCATTGTTCAAATGTACACGCTTTAAGTGAGGTAGTATTTGAACAAATACACTAAATAAAAACGAATTTAATTGATTGAGTTTTGCCGGAAAATCAATATTGAATATTTCATATTTATATTTAATGTTTTCAATATCAAATGAGAGCGAACGTAATTGGGAAAGTTTATGTAAGTTATTAAAAATTGATTCTATCAATTCATATTTGATATCGATAAATGTAATTGATCGTAGACGAATGAATTGTTCAAGTCGAAAAATAGACAAGAAATATATAGATAGATGAGATGTATCGTTGTCATGAGAGAGTGTTAACGAAATAATTTGTTCAGGTCGAATACAATAGAAAAAAGAATTCAATTGAGATTTTTCTATTAATTTTAAATCCAATTGATAAGCAGCATAGGAAAGTAGAGTAGCATTGACATAATCACTGACATCAATAAAACTAAGAAAAATTTCATGTGCCAAAAAGTAGCTAAATATCATTTGTAATAGTTCGATAGGTAACAAATCAAATAAACAAATACGAGCCATACCTTCAAACTTTATATCGAATTCATAAATTAAATTCAAATAAGTTTCAACGATCGAACAGTTAATAAAAGAAATCGACAAAAAAAAAAAAAACATACCAAACTTATCATGTCATTTTACTGAGGAATTTAATCTTTACGACCTTATCGTCGTGCACATGTCTAAACGAAACAAGAATAGAGCGTAAGGAAAAAAAACCAATCATACGAACAAGTAATAGGCGTTGCCTCATGTGAAAAAAAAACGTGTTTGCATACAATAAGAGCAAAAAAAGGAAAAAAAACGCAGTTAGTACAAATCAATCACGTAAGGATGACGCATATAAGTATAAGTCTTCGAAATGTGTAATATCTAACGAACTAATACAATGATTTAGAAATACTTTGTATTGTTTGTAATAACTTCTTCAGTTTATATGAAAAAAAAAGTACTATTATAAATTTTGGCTCAGATTTGTCAATATTATTGTTTTACTTTGAAAACTTAGATGTTGTTTCTAGATTTATATTCAATTTTTCTCAATTAAATAGTAAAAAACGACCTCAATATGGGTGACAAGGTTGTTATTGTGCTCTAGCAGTTGATAATACATATGTTCAATCTGATCAATAGTATATTGCTATTCAAGACAAAATGAAAGTTTTAGCATAGAATTCAATCTTTCGATATTTATTTTTATGTAGCAACTTGTGTACTGCTAGAAAAATGTTTTTTTTTTCATATTTTATTTCCAGCTTGGATTCCAGAACATGAATATGATATCATATTACATAGTGATAAGAATATATCATTTTTTCATCACTAAAATCTCGATTATGCTGATATATTTGTGGCAAAGTACTACAGAATTTTATTGTAATTAATTATTGAATAAACATGTTATACGACTTGAATCATTACCTATAAATGATTCTAATTTCCGGACATTTAATATTTCGAATCCGGACCTTTCATCAACGACAACTATTTCACTGATAATCAGTACAATCTTAACACGAAATATCTCAATCACTACCGTCAATACTACTGTTAGTTAAATAGAACAAAACATTAACATTTCATAAAAAAATTTCATTCATAATAGCTTACTACAACAGATATTGTAATTACTAAAATATTTATTTAGACAACTCTATCAACAATCTCAACAACAACAATAACACAAAGCATTATAGCAAGTAATGTGTTAATGAATGATTGCACTTCTCACATCAGCAATGTATATGCTACTTTTATTGAATTTGTTGATATACTTGAACTTAGTCGAATGTCAGTATAAGAATGAACAAAAAAACATTCATTGTGTTTGACATATGAGTAATATAATACTTAATGTAACTTATATCACCACTATTTAATTAATTTAATTTTGTTTCATATTTATTTAAAAAATAAAAAACAAAATTATATAAATTTTCATATGTTCTCGTATAATTCAAAGTAAATTAGTGATTTCAGTTTAATCGATAAAATCAATTTACTAAAAAATTTTAAATTCTTATTTAAAAAAAAGATCATGATATTGTTGTAAGAAATGAAGATAAAGATTGCTAAAAATAAATATAACTAATAATAAGAAACAAATAGTTTTATTATACAAAATAAAACTTACATGTTCAGTGTTCCATATATGAACAAATGATAATGTATTGTAATTCAATGAATGAACAATTTGACATGTGTATTTTTTATCGATAGACATTTGTAATTCTTGACAATTTTTGTTTTTATCTTTTTTAAATAATGAATTCATACCAAATGATGCATTTAATAAATATTTTAATTGTTTGGTAAAAAATACGATATCTTCTGTTGAATTAATAAGTGATACATTTAAATATTCAATACAAGGAAAAATATGACATAAAGTTTTAGAGATAGATTCTTTTTCAAAATAACAAAAACGTAAATTAAGAATTCGTATTTGTTTAATAATATTATTTTGTAATTCTTGAATTAAAACTGGAACTAAATATCCTGTTATTGTTAATTCATTAAAAAGAGGCATTACAGGTAGTATCAATAAAAACATTCGTACACTATTTTGTGATGATAATATCAAATGTTTTATTTCATTTAGATTAATTATATGAGAGAGTTTTTCGATTGAAACTAAACAATTCATTTTTAAAATTTTTACATTAGGAAAATAGTGATTTTCATTAAAGATTTCTGTTGATACTATTAATTTAGTTATATTTTCATAGAAAATAGTATGATTCGATGAGTTTGACATAATTGATAATGGAATATTAATATTAAGTTGTATTGGAACAAAACGAGGAATTGTATATAAATCTCCATTATGATAAACAACAAACCAATGTTTTTCTTCAAGCCAAAATGATGTACGAAATGAATTTAAACTTTCAAATAAATATCTTAATTTGAATTTAAAATTAAATGTAATAAGAGACTTGGTCAATTTTTCCCATCGTTTTCCATCATCAAAATCATCACCATAATTAGCTTGAAATTCAAAATGTTTTAATTGAAATAAATTTGGTAGAAATTCTTCAATGAAATTCATTGATAGAAATTGATTTTTAAATACTAGAAGAAAATTCAGTTTATATAGAAAAACAAAAAAATTTTTGTACCATCAATTTTCAAAATAAGCCAAGTTAAATTTGATAATGAAGAAAGATCTTTAATATATATTGGATCACCTTGTAAACAAGCATTAAATGATTTCAATTGTGGTATTTCCGAACAGATTCGTTTTAATTCTGTTGTTGAACATTCTGAAATTTTTAAATGATGAAGACAAGACAATGATTTTAATGTCATTTCTTGAACATTATATAAAGTCAATTGTTTTAATTGTGATAATAAATTTGTACAAGTATTCAATAGAATTGATTTACATTGTGTAAATCGTAGTCTATAGTCTTTATTAATCATTCGATAATCTTCTGTAGTATCAAATGAAAATGAACGTAAATGATTAAGTCTATTTAAATTTGGTAGAATGAATTCTAAGAAAGTATTTTCAATATTAATTAAAGTTAATGATTGAAGTTGAGTAAATTGTTCAATATGAAAATGAGAAAAGAAAAGTTCTGATTGACCATTATTATCAATATCATCAAAAAGTTTAAGCGAAATAATTTGATCAGGTTTTATATGATGACAAATAAAATCAACATGATATTGAAGAAATGATTTTAAATTAATTAAACTGATTGAATAATGAATTAGAATAGCATTGATATAATCACTAACATTATACAAATTATAATAAAGTTCAGGAATAGGTATATAATTAAATAGAATATGTAGTATTTCGACAGGAAATCGATCCAAAAAACAGTATGAAGTCATAATATTAAGTTTTAATAATATATTTTGTTTTTATCTTAAATAACTTGCTACAAAAAGTATGAGAAGATAAGAAGTTATGTTTATCTTCCTTTTTTGCATGCAAACATTACTTATATGAATCATCATTGTAATTTTACTAAACTATTTAAAAGAAAATAATATCATTTTATTCATTGATTTTTTTAATGAAACTGTTTTCATCTCAATTGTTTCATGTTATGAAATAATATGCAAAATATTTAATCAAGTTTTCAGTATTGACGCAAGTTATATTCCATCTATTGTTTTTTAAATATTTAATAATACATTAAATTCATAGATCTTTCTATAGTAGATATATTATATATTTGTGAAATACAATTTAAAATGAATGCTGAAATATATCGGATGAAAATTTCAACTATCCCATCTTACAGTCCAGAATAGATTGTTGCAGAAACATTACAAATAAATAGCTCATCGTAGATATGACAGACATAAATATAGAGACGTTACTGACCGTGAAATAAGAAAATCAGTAAAAGCTTCATTTCAATCAACAAAAATTAAGAATTTTGCTACTGTATGTTTTTTTTTTGAATTCATTTAATTGTAAAATAGTTTGATAATATCAAAATGAGAAAGAAAAAAGATCTTGATGATCATTGTTTATTGTTTGTTTCTTTATATTCATCAACATCAAAACTATAGGAATCATGGTTCGAAATGATTAGGTCTATCCAAATCAAAGAGACTTTTTTCTTGAGATCCATCCGATTCGAATTTTGCTTCTTTCTACAACGTAGATTTAAGCACCTGGTGACTGATAAGAATCAGGAAGCTTTAGTATGTAAATATTGCGTAAGTTTTATTCAGGCAACAAATAAAAACAAATCATTTCATCAGTTCAATAATACACATTTCATTTTATATACAAGGTTGTGTAGAGTAGAGATCGAATTATATGAGAAAGAGAACTTCTCAGCTTATTACTGATCGAATCGGTCTATTAAAGGATAGTTCGATTCCGATGACTTATCATTGTATCAATGAAGTTCCTACATTGGACAACAATTAAAACAAGTGATTTATTCAAAAAATTAGCATAATAAGATGGTTGCTCGATTGACTCAAAGTAGAACAGAAGAAAATATTCTACATCTACTTTTTATTCCTATGAAAACAAAATGTAAGAGTAGAAAAGTAAAATAGAAGAGAGTCGTCGAAAAAATATATAAGTCAAATACAAAATTAAAAGAGAATACAAACAAGTATTTGACATATCGTCAATCTCTTGATTATTATCTATCCTGAAAATGTACCTGAATTGGTATCAAAAGTTAATATCATATTACTCGTCACTGAATTTGCTTGATCGACTGAATATGTCATAGTGGATCCACTAGATGAACCTAGAATTTTAATAAAATGTCAAAATTAATAATAACATGAAAAAAAAACAATAAAAACTATGATTTACTTTGTACGCCTATCGTAGTTGATGAACCTCCATTAGATGCTTGAAAATAAATATATTTGATAATGCCAGGTAAATTTTCATAAAATAAAATTTGAAAATGATAATATTGAGTTGATTAACCATAATGACTTGTATCATATTCAAATGTTGCTAATCGATTAGGTGCTGTTTCAGCAACACTATAATAGACACTTTGAGATGTACCAGAATAAATTATAAGATCATCCCAATAACCAAAAACTGTTGGACCTCCAAAACTACTACTTGGAAGATTTTCATTTGTATAATCAGCAGAACAACTACCAAGACAAAGAACCCAAATATCAATGGCATTTCTTTATTTTTTTTTTTCGATATACTTTTCAAAATGGCTTTTTCATTTTATGACAACTTACACCATTACTTGTAACAGATATAGTTGATGTCGAGTAACCATACATTGTTAAACTCATTGGTAGAGTAAGTGTAACATAATTATCATCAACTGAATATTGTCCACCCCATCCTGGTATAGCAATAGCACCAACAAGTTGCACAGCAGGTGCACTACTACATACACCTGCTGAACAGCTAGTATATGATGAAGCACATACATAAACAAATGAACCACAATTATTAAAATCAATTTGAAGATTAACACATGTTCCTGACGGAGAACTTGAATAACCAGAAGCACATGATTCTGTTGCTAGAATTCAAATATTATATTATGTCATTAATCTTAGTTTTTAATATTATGTTTAATTACTTGTTGTTGTTGTGACACTAGTAGTAGTTACCGTTGTTGTTGTTGTTCATGTTGTTAATGTGGTCGTTGTTGTTGTGGTAGTTGTTGTTGAAGTAGAAGTAGTAGTTGTTGTTGTTGTTATCACTTTTTGTGTGATGATAAAAGGTACAACTATGACTCCTGCAAGAAGACATGTTATGAGTATACCAAGAAGACATTTGATTGGACCAAATCTTCTATATTAAATGAAAATTTCTACATATAAAAATATGTATGTACAATGGTCTACGAACCGAGCAGTTTTAACTTGATGCAATTGCTTAAAATCAACATGGATGGAACGGGGTGCGATAATTGATCGCCATTTTAATAACTAGGAAATAAATCGACTTGCATATATTGAGCCATTGGTGGATGATTTACCATTTGACGCTTAAAAACAAATAAAACTTTAGTTTAATGAAGAACAATAATGTTCTGTATTGAGTAAGTGTCATTAGAACAGTTGAGACTTCTATAAAAACTCATTTCTTCTGACCCACACTCCAAATGCTACATACTTCTGATGCATTTTTATCTATATTAATGATTTTGAAGCAGTTAAACTTATCGTTTTCAATAAAATTGAAGTGTATTTTGTGTTTCCAAGAGTAAAAATTAGATTTGACCTATAAACACTAATTTTGATCAGGCTTTGTCTTCCAAAACGGGACAAACAATTTTTTTTGGACAAAACCTTCTGACAAGATTACGAGTCATCGAAAAACTTATCGTGTCGAACTCTTGTCTATATCTCAAACAAGTAGAATTTTGTTGTTTCATGAAATTGTTAACTGATGAACTCAACTGTTTAGTTTTTCAATTGTATGTAGCATTTAATTCGATGTCATACTATTATTCAATCATTAACTTACATTCTGGATATTATTATTATTATGCGACATATTACGAAGAGTGATGTTACAGGTCACTGGAATTTAACAGTGTACTGTAAGTGAATGCATATTGTCGAAAAAGTGCAACTCAACTAACGAAAAAATTTCTCTTTTATTCATTGTTTAATTAAGAAAGTGGATTGATTGCTTTTGATGGTTGCCATGTTTTCTTCCAGAATCTGTTTTTCTTTTATTTTTTCAACATTACACTGAACACTTTAATATGAACGAAATTCTCAAGTATATACGGAGTGTTTATTGACGTTATCAGTATTGTATTAAGTGGCAAAAAGGAATCCATTATGTAGTTATAATATATAATGCGTGTCATGGTATGTTTCAGAAATTTTTCCAATTTTATTTTATTTTGTTCTTGGTCATGAAACCAATTGCATAACACATCGAGAAAAAATGCAAAAATTTGATCAAATGCATCACCACTTTTACTTAATAAAACTATCGAATCATCATTTGCCGATACATGATTAAACAATAAAAGATTTTTCAAAAAAAACATTCAAGGAATGTTTTTGTCTAGGTGTGGCTGCAATAATATGCAAACAAGAAAATATACTTGTGACAAAACAATCATCTATGATTCACTTTTGTTTGAATATATAATGCTAGAAATTCAAAAGAGATTCACATTTTTTCATAGTTGATTATTATTAATATGTCTCGAAGAATTTTATCATCAAGTAGCTATAAGAAAGAATATTCTATGACATCTAATTTAGTTCAAATTAGACAAATGATACAGAAAAATTTTTTAAGAATCAAGAATCGACATGTATATAAAAAAAATGGTAAGATTCATTTTCATAACATGTTTTATTCATGTAGAAACATCTTTATCTTTCATTTCTAAGTGAATATTTTTAGTATCGATTTATTAAGTAAAATGGTTTATGAATCGTGCATTTTCTTTCAACCATTGCTGAGTTGTTTATTGCATCACAGGTAATCGCTTTGAGGAATATTTTCGCAATTGAAGAAAATATGAATGATTAGAAATTAAACGCCAGGAAATAAGTGACCAAGATATTCTGCATGTGTCAAACATGTTTGTATAATTTGGTTTCAATATTAAAAAAAAAAAGATTTAATCAATGTAAATCATGTGTTTCGATTGTTTCTTCATCCAGCATTCTATATTATGAAGTTCAAGTGTATGAAGACGAGGCATATAATGTAGTAGCTCAATCATTTGATCGAATGTGATCTGATATGCATTTAAATATTAAACAGAGTTTAAATTTGTGATTGATAACAGTATATTAATATAATTAAAATCATCAGCAAGATTCAATTTTTTCACATGTGTAAACTGGCAAGTTGTTATCTTTGAAAATTGACAAATTCACAAAATACAATCATGTGAACAACAACTAATTTCAGGTGCTGTACTAAATACTGATGAATCCATGTAGATGATGAAAATTGATGACACAGGAAAATGAATAACCAGATGGTTTTTAAAGATATTTTGATAAATACTAAAATTGTTTTCTTTTATCATTGTAAGTCACGAACTAACGGTTTTCTAGTAGCCAAAATAATGATCGAAATGATGAAAGTAGTTGTTCTGAATCAGGTTTGTAACGAGGAGAAAGTTGAAATGAAAATTTTAGTAAAATACAATGACCAAGAAATGTTGCTCATTGATGATCACTCTCTTTTTTGAAATATCTGTGTGTTGGTTGGCATAAGCGTTTCAATAGATATACAAATATTCAATGTATTTGGTGAATGCAAGAAAAAGTTTCTTCCATCTTTTCAGTTATTGGTATTGTCTTAAAAATATAGATAATGAACTATCAACAGCCAAATATAATATATATATATATATATTGAAAAGCTAATGAAAAGTGAAAAAAAAAAACCTTACATATAGTCATCTCTTGTTATCGAGAAAACATGGAAAAATTGATTTACGATAGGTAACACGTGATGAGACAGAAAAATCTGATTTCAATTTTTAGTTTTCGATTTTATTCTTGCATTGAAAATGTCACTGGTACTTATCTTTTTGAAATCCTTCCATCATATCAGTTTTTCTTTTTACTCAACCATGGATTTTCTTTCTAGCATACATTTAAAATACTTCATTCTTGTGAAAGAAACAAAATGCTATACTTTACAAAAGACATTAGCTCATTTATTTTCTTTCGGTAATATTTTGTGCAACACAATCTGAAAGGAATTTTGAAGTAATTATGAGAGTAGACATTTAGATCCCTTCGCCTATCTAGTCGTGACAGATATCTTAACAACATCATTGTCCATCGTAGTCTGTGACAGACTCGGGATGTGATATTGTCAGATAGTGAACGTCTATTAAAAATTTACTGAAATCAACCTCGTACGTATCAATTCAACCGTTCACCGTTATAAATGTTTCAGCACTAGACTGACTTTTATTGACGGAATGATGAGGTCACCATATTTGTGTTGCATGGTGATGAACAAGGCTATGTTGTGATTAACAAACCAAATCTCTTCAATGATATCTGTGTATCGAAATGGTGTGCAGCAACTATTCATGATGAAAAGAAATTATTCAAATCAGCAGTTGTCAAGATTTGATGACGACACTCGAAGTTCGATGCAAATGTGTGGTTATAAGTGTGGGCGTGAATGCGAGTGTCGGTGTGGATCGGTGGGTGAATGTTATCTTCGAATATATCCACCCTCAATAGCACCCGCAATATTACCCTCACACCCACCCCACACTCACATCCATACCCATATTGTTTGAATAGCAGTTTTTATGTGTTGACACTTTTCCTTGTTATATCACTCTGATACCATGAAATAGATAATGTATTTGCTTATCAGGTAGTGTCATGAAAGACAAAAAACCATGATTTCCGATTTTGTTCAATCCTCTTTGCTCACCACATGTCTACTAGACTAACTCAACCATGCTGTACAAAGAACAGGACATCCGCTAGATCTGATCACATCATTAGCATTTTAGCGAGACTGATACTCCATTATAGTGTTATTTTGTCAGTGACTTTTCTGAAGCGACTTTGCAGGTGACGAATGAAGTATTCGAGTGTACTAAGTTGATGTTAGCCGTTACAGATAACTAAAGTCACTTTATTCGAAGCTCATAAGTGATATATATATCCACATGAATTCAAAAAAACGAACGACACATCGAAAAAAGAAAGATCATCGGTAAGGGAAATGCTTGAACGATACGTAGAAAAGAGAGAATGTCTAGAAAAATATTTAAGTAAAAAGGAGAAGAAAGATAACACACCTTGTAGCACTAACACTTTATATTCTAAGTTTAAAAATTTCATTGATATTTATTACATACAGATGCAAGAACATGAAGTAAAACAATGAAAAATATTAAATGAACAGATGATGTGAACAGCATGCTATTATTAAATGCACAGTTGAGATCTTTCCATGGAATGTCAGGTAAATTTACTACTCCAAATGTACGTGAAAGTTCAGCTACTCGAGTCATATTGACCGGCTGTTTGACAAAGACAGGAGTAATTTGATCCAAATAATTCTCAATATTCGACGGCGAAAATAATAATTCTATATGGACTGGTTTTGAACCAAGATTTCGACTCGATTGTATGATATTTCGTGGAACGTAAAAACTCGTACCAGCTGGTGCACAAAATTGATAACCATCCAGATAAACTTGAAGAGTACCATTAAGTACACGAATTGTTTCGTCTTCTTTTGTATGATAATGACATCGAGATGCATTACCAATATAAACCAATTCTTCAATAATTGTCAAAAGATTAGATGATTGATTTCCACGAAGTACGATTTTATACATAGCATTAAGAAATGAAACTGCCGGCACGTATTCACCAATATTTGAATAAGAAATGACTGTATTATTCGGCTGTTGACCTACTATAAATCAGGATCTTTCGATTTTTGAGCAGAAAGGTTTATTAAAAAAAAAAGCTTCTCTTCACGAAATACAAAAATAGGCATACATGTCGGGTACTACTTCGATGCTACCAGGTGCCTTGTTACTATAGTTTCAGGGTGTGTAAAATTGAGTCGTAAGAAAACTTTCTATCTTAATCCTTTGTGAAAACTGTTAGTGATGTATCTAATAGTGGAGTAGATAGAATTCCATTTTCCGCTACATGAAGTTGGTTAGTCTAGTACAATATTTACTTACATGAATTAGCAAAAGCCAATATGATGATGATGTATTGGTAGCACATATCCATTTTTGTATACTGCAAATTCGACCGGGGATAGAGAAGATTGAAATAAATGTGTATGAGAGCTATATGAAACTTATTATAAGCAGACGACTCTTGTTCAAAATGTATTTATTTTCGGGTATAAATATTGACAAAGTATGCGATCATATTAATCTTTGGAACGTCATTCTTTCTGTTCCTATTTCCTTGTGACATACAAATTTGATTGCGTCACTATGTCAAACTTCTCAAAACGAGTCAGAAAAGGAAGAGATAACTGCCGATCATGACTACTTTTATTTGACAGCTAATTATCAATTATCCCTGGTCTCATCTGAGTCAAGTTGATAGAAAAAAAATGAACAAGAGACTAGAAGAATAATCATTATTCAATGAAGGAAATACATATAAAATCAAATATTAAGAAAAGATAAAAATACAGCTAAAATGTTATTGTTATGAATTTTCAACGAATTTTTTCCTTCCCGTCTCCATATTTTCATTTTTTTGCGGTCTTTCAAAGCCCTTCTAGTATTCGATGGATCAATTTCCATAAACGAATTTTTTTTCTGTAGTTTAACATGCATAATCTTATCTAACTATGAAAATACAATAATTAGTCTTACAATTTGAACATTATAGTATTTCAGCAATAGATATTTTTTATTAGCTTCCATTGCACAATCTCGGCAATTGTATGCTATTGTGAAATAAATATTATAAAAATAAATGAAGGTATCGTTGTCTTTATTGGTTTGATGCTTGCTTGTATTCAACGGAGTAGAAAATCAAATGAAAATCAAGACGAAAACGATTCGATGAAGCTACCTGTGACATGAAACGATCAGTAGCATTGAACCTTGAGTACGAATATCTCATGCGAGAAAGACAAGTATTCAAGGGGATAGGAAATTTTGCTTTCATTTAATCGAGACACATATGGATGCATTTTTCTTCAAGATTTACAATATGTTTTTGATAGGAAAATTGATTCTAGAACGAATCTTTTTCTTTAAGCCCTTATCTCATTTCGTAGAACAGTATGGTATTTTCAAAAAAACAGCAAAAGCCCTAAGAACAAGGTCGAATCCTTTGATGGAATAGTCATTAAAAGAATTTTATCTCTCTGTATCTCACATCTCGTATACTATTGAAAACTGTTACTATTTTGACTCTCATAAAAGTTTTTTTTATCCTAACTCGATGAAATCATCGATTTCATCTTGACATTCTAGTCATGGTTGAAATAACTTCTAAACATCTACTGATTATTAGATAAATTTGATGAATCGATACTTGAATAATTACGATTCACTGGGAAGTATAGTCGTGTGCGCTTCTCTCTTTCGTATCGTTTTTTCGTCGTTCTTCCCTCTTTTTTTTTGTCTTGTTATTTGCGGCATAATCACATTTATGTGTACATTCGCAATACATTAGGCGGTAATGAAGCATGTTGAATGTGATATAAATAGAACTAACAAATCTCTAATATCGATATTGAGATACGTATAATTATATTCCTTTTTGTATATGTGAGTATTATAATGAGATGGTTAAGTCATGAAGGACAAAATATAGACGGCGATAGCAAATAATTATTTGTAGGTCACCGACTAGAATGTGCACTAACAAATAGTTGAGCAATCGAACGACTGAGATAAGATTTTGAAATTCAGATGTATTAAATTAACTCTGTAGCACGGTTCACGTATATATATACAAGATCACTGATCAATAGGCAAAAAAATAAATATTGTCTGGTTTTTTATTATTTATTTCTAATCCATGGAATATTAAACGAAAGAATTACTAATAATAAATTAATCGCATTAAATAAATTAGATGGATTAGAAACAAATAATACAGAAAGCACTCAACATTTATCTTGGGTGTGGGTAGCGCGTGGATGCGCACAAAGAGAAGACAAGACCAACACTCACATCCCGCCCATATTCACACCTACACACCCACAACCACACCCTAGTCTATAAAAACAAAGACATCATTTCATTTCTTATTTGTTTTGCATTATAAATATTTAGTAGTTTAACATGACAAATAAATACCACATAAAAGAGTGAGTCATAGAAAAGAAAATTATTCATGATTATCTATATTAATAACTACGCCCTTGAATACCGAAATAGATATAAATAGATTATATATTATAAAACGTAAATTGCTACATAAGCAAAATAAATCTGAATACAATGACATGCACATAATAATGTCGTAGTTCAATTCTATTAGCAATATGTAAGAATCTAAATTGTATAATAATTTTCATAGAGTGAATTTTTTTTTGTATTTTAAAAATTAAGAAATAAAATCGATTTTATATTTCATTCCAATTGGAATCATAATATTTAGTTAACGATATATATTTCAGTTTACACATATTTATTATCGTTGAAATATAAAACATGTCTTAAAATAAAGAAAATATTATTTAATTGACTTAGATCTGCATGAACATATTTCTGCCATTGGCTTATTCCTGTTGGCAAACAAATTTATGCTTGATTAAATCATCGAAAACAACGAAAGTCATTGCCAAGTGTCAACAGCTACGGCAATGTAATGAAAATTTATCATACAATGATGAAAAGTCATTTGATAAAAACAATATTATCTACAGACAAGAAAGTCTTTAAAAAAATTCTTAATTTTCCTATCTAATGATGGTAGCTGTTTTTCTAAAACTTAGTAATAATAAATTATATCGTAAATAGAAATAATTAGTCTTTCCATTGATTTTCTACCACATCGTCTATTCTAGAATATAGTTTCTTTTTACAAGAACACAGATACATACAAAATATCATATAAATACAAACATATGTAATGATGAGACTATATATGTTATAATTGATATTTATTCGTACTGAATCGATTCTTCTGTAGAAAGATCAATATTATATTTCTAATGATGACTCACAAGCAAATATATCCAAGTAGATCTATAAGCAGATCAGTTAGACAGATACTTGAAATAATGATGCATTGTGTTATAGTAACTAGCTAAATTACAGATTGATATATTGAGATAATATTATACGATAGTCAATATACCCAAATAAGAAATATTGAGAATTAAAAAATGACGAATTATAGTAGTGAATATATTTCTAAATTCAATAGATTTCGTATGGATTTTAATTGGACTAAAATTCATGTACTACGAATCTGATATGCATTAGCGATGCACTTTTCATACGCTGGACTATTCACATACTATCTACTTTAAGTGAATAGTCTGTGAATGGTACAGTGCATAAAAAGTGTATTACCAGAGCATGTCAGAGTGTTAGTACATGGTATTTAATGCATTTCAAATGCATATTCACAATGTATGATAGGTAAATATTAGCATTGTAGTATAATCCTAGTGCATGAATTATTATGCACATGTTTTTCTAGTGTATAACTTCATATAATTTATACTATTGTAAAGATTATATAGTGTCACAGAGTGCTTGCAATATTTCAATATTGTTAATTTAATAATTTTTTACGAGAATGTAAGTGTAAAGTCAATAAAAATTTACCACTAAAACATTTGTAAAAAAATAAAAATAAAGTCATGCTGTAAATTTTTTCTGTTCTCTCGGCTATAAGTGAATTGTACATGATAGGTTTTCAGTATAAGAACGATAACTAAACGACGGCAAACGAACGATGTATTTATTACGTTTGACATCGAAATAACGTAATAATCACTTTCAACGTAATAAATAAAGTGTTTCATGTTTCTTCGTTGAATATTTCAATGTATTTATTCAGATTTTAACAAGAATTTTACAATTCTAAAGTATACTTTCAACTTTGAACTAGATTACCAGAACATGTTGTATGCTATGTATCATAGTCGTTTTTGTTTGTCTTGTTCTGTTGCTCGAAATAGATCATGAAACGTAATAAACATCTTATACTCATTACATCGCTTATTTTTAACATTTTTCTTTCGCTCTGTCGCTCACTCTTACGAATATATTTATCCATTTCATGACTTTTTCCAATTTGTTTTGTCATGATTTACGATGTCATGAAAATAAAGATATGACGCTTCTTACCGCCCATCACTATTCCCAGTCATCCATGAATCATGTTTAAAATAGTACCAAACACCTACTTTATTCACAATTATATTCTGTTGTTCGCATTTTTCTTTTTTGTCTTCATGATTATGTACATGATTATTTGATTTTTTTTCCTACTTTTTCTATCTTTCTTGTCAGAAAAAATAAAGAGATAGAAAAAGATAAACCTACTAAGAAATTATATATATATATATATATATACAACCAATGTTTGATCATGTTACATTTAAATAAGCTTTTAAAATTTGAATATTACATTATTTTCACAATTTGAATACATTTATTATCAAGAATAAATTTAATTATGACAACAACCAAATGTTCTGTTATATCATTATTATTGATTATATTTGTATTAAATAAAATTAATAGTCAAACATTATCCACTGAACCATGTGAACCTGTATTAAAGAATTATTTTGACTATTTAACCGTGCCACATCCTGGTACGTATCGTTATTTATCTATTCAAGCAACATTTATATTAGAAAATAGATATGTTGCATATTATATTGGATCTCTAAGTTATGCTACATCAATTGATTCATTAAATGGTACAGTAACTGTATCATTTAGTGATCGAACATGGACTCCATCATGTGGTTTATGGTTTTGCCCTTATCAAAATTTTAATTATATAAATACTGATATACAAACTATTGTAATTAATAGATCAGGTTCCATTGAATATATATTAAATAGTTGGGGTAATGCGAAGTTCACAGATCAATTACAATGTTATGGTATAAATGAACCACTTTATACACCACCAACAAAACAATCATCATCTATGTTTGTAATGACATTACAAGAGAAACAATATACTATACCAAAATAATCATTCTAAACAAAAATCATCTATAATATCATGAAAAAAAAAATTCATTTTTCTCTTTACAAAGTTCATATTTTTCTTTTTATTGATTATTTTGTGTAATAAAATTTTAATCATGAATACAAACTTTATATATGATAAACAATCTTTATAAAGAAATAGAAAAAAATTTTCCAGTTGTTTGTCAATAACAATATGGTTAACACCAGTATTATTTTACATAAAATACAATCCATACCTGATTATACAGTGCTTACTAAAACTTCTGCGACAAACTTTTGTCTCCCATGATATTTTCCTAAGAAGCAACAATTGGCAAATAATAATGCAGTTTAATAGACATAGTAATCACCTCTCACATGTTACCTTGACGGTGTGGGTCAAAGGTTGACGTTCATTCGCACACCCACACCATCAAAGAAACAGTCATTGATGTTTTGGTGTTGATCCAGCCCATTTTTAAATACATTTTTCAAGTGAAAAATAAGATTGATTTCTGGGGAGATCGCATCAAAGAATTATCAAATTTTGTAACTTACGGTCTTTTTACATTTGCCTAATTTCGAACAAAACATCATGTGGTTGATACAAAATACGAATTTAAAGTTTGGCATCATGAACAAAATTGAAGAAAAATAAAATTACAGAATGATTAAAAAGAATATCTACAAAACAAAATAATCAGTTATTTTCTTATTTTCACCCTCAATGGCAACAACATGGTTTGTAACGACGAATATACTTTTGAAGCAATTGACAATGAGAACGATGCACATGTGTGTGCTCGATTAATAGCCGAAGATTTCTTCCAAATCGTTTCATGGTCAAGGCTATCAGAAGCCTTTGAAGAGCGATTATCATTTCTACCGCGATACCATTCTTCAGACGAAATTGTTGCAGCAGTAATAGCTATGGATCTATATGTGATCAAAAAATATATATATATACGATGCTTCTAGTCTTTAATCGTGTATTCCAATTGAAGATTTAAGCGATGAAAATGGATCAAATGGATGAAGCATTGATTTGTCAGAAATTAAATCAAGAAGGGTGTGGGGTGGGTGTTCACGAAAAGAACAATGACACTCACACCCACACTCTAGCCAAAATGAGATGAAATGAACATTTAATATAATGCTCATTTGTTACAGACAAGATAATAATTATAGATACATGGGAATATAAACAGTCATTGTACGAAGAGCGTATAAAGTGAAGAAAATTGCAAAAACCATTACAGAGCTGCAATATGTTCTCAAAAAGGGTATTGAGACGGACCAGTTCCTATCAAAGAACTAGTGGGACAGTTCTGAAGATCAGAATTGATATGGAACTGTCGTAGGTCTAATGCACATTGTGCCTCATTGTTATATTTTCATACACATGCATTCAACTTCACCCTATCGTATCACACCTACTCATAAACACATTCTTAGCTTCTTTTGCACACTTCTAAAATTCTCTTACATCCCAAAACGAAAAGAAAAGAATGAAGATGGTCGGAGAAAAGCTTTTATTATTTTATATGTTAACTAATTAGATAATAGTAGACATGAAAATTTTAGTTAGTATTATATGTATTAGAGTCCATGCAGTTTATTGTGGAACCGAATAATAATTTGGCAAGGTGTATTCAACATGCATGATTATTTCCGAATGTTAATAAAGGGAATTAGATAAATAGTTGGTTGCATAATTTACCTGATGTTGATTTGGTTGTGGGCCGGATTCAGTTGCTATTATAATGGGAATAGTAGCATCAAAATTTGTGAAGATGCCACTGACTTTAACTTCAATTTCTACAACATAATTGATACTTACTTGAGACGTATGGGGTAAGCCGCCATGAAACGTATACGATGGAGGCAAAAGTCCAAAAGGAATTGGTATAGAAAATGTTTCCATTATCTGTTTCTCTTTTGTGTGAACCACTGTGGGTATAGTTGTTTGAACAATTATTTCTTTTCCCGTGACACTCTCAATTCGATAATATTGAGTCAATGTTAAATAAATGTGTTTCAATGTAGTTTGTTTTGGATTTTCAATTTCTAAGGTTCCCGTAATTGTTTCACCAGGTACATAAACCAATTTATTCATATTGCCTTTAAGAAGAACATCTTTTCGATTATGATTACCAAATGTAGATGGCGTCAAATACTGCAGGTGATTCGATGAATTGACATGAGGAAAAACTGTCAAATAGAGAGTTTCTGTTTGGTTTCGTTGATACCAAGGTTTATCAATTACAAAATTCAAGTAGTATCGAACATGTGGATAGTTGTGCGGGTTATTGATCGTCGGTGGAAGTTGGCATGGCAATTGAAAACTGAATCGCCATGAATACTGTCTTGAAAGATTACTCGAATTTTTCATTAAAAGCCCTGGACCTTCCAGGACTCTTTTTTCGGAAAAAAAGCGTGATACATGATACTCAGTTTCCGTACGTGTTGAGCCATCCGGCTGATGAAAAGTACGTATAGAGCCGTCTGATTGATCAACAATACGAGTTGTTGTGTAGCCAGTTTCGCCATTTAATACAACAAATATTTCGTCGACATTAACGTGTTCTTTCATGATTTCTGCATTGACTGTTCCCGATACTATTTCACCGGCATAAAAGAATGGATTCATTCGATCAAGACTAATGGCGATATTGACACTATTGCCAGAACCCATTTTTTTCCTTCGGAAATGTATCTGAAGAAAAGGTGATTAAATACAAGAGGACTGAAAACAAGAAGATCAGTCAATGAAAGACGTATATTTTTTGATATTTTTAGCCTTAGTAGATCGTGTGGCAACAGCCCAAGTCAACAAATCACATAATCAGATCAGATTCAGATTCTTGTGCGTTCGTACCCGATCTTATATCATTATCGTACATAATCGTGGAAGATCATACGAAAAAGCTTACGGAAAATATCTTATTCTCAGATTTCTTACATCAATAATTATAGTACGCTTCGAGTATGATCCATCAGTAGGATCTTGTACGATCAGATGAAATCGTTTCGCAAGATTTCAACATATTAATTCAAAGATATACATTATAGATTGTCCATGGATCTTAATATATGAAGAGTGAATCTAATTCACGACATATAATAAAGAAAAGGTTTATTTTTAAACGAAAAAAGCTATATATCTCGAAATATATGGTAGAACTGAGAACGATTTTAATCCATATTCAACAAAAAGTATACTACATTGTAACAAAAGTCACAAGAAAATAGAAAATACTCTTCTTTGGAAAAAAAGTCTTCTATATTATCTACGTAGAAAAATTAGAAATTAAAAGTTCCATTTTCTGTAATATCAATAAGGAACAATAAAAAGTAAAAAATTCTATTTCTATACTGTCAATATAGAAAAATGAATAATAATAGATAGGATTTTATAAATTATGAATATAGAGAAATAACAAAAAAATTGTGTTGACAGTTGTATCCTGTTTTGTAACTATTTTTCTTCATAATAAAACTAATTGAATTAACGATTCTCGAATAAGTAGGAAAACAGGGCAGATCATGCACGATCAGATAATGGCAGATAAGACCTGTATTGTGGAATGCTGTATGTTTCTTTTCTTCATGGATCTTATAGAATTCGATGTGATCTGGCAAGAACTATGGAGTCTGTTATTATAGATCTCTTTATCTTGGAATCTTGGAAGATTTTAGCTTGACTCGTGCAATAGGAATCATAGGAAACCTTTCATAAAGTCTTGAGTATAGAATCATGATTGATCTTTGTGTAAGATCGTAAAGAAAGTCTTATATGCATAAGATCTTATAGGATCTGATACGATCTGATGTCTGTATTTTTTACCTGGGAGCATAGTTATCAATCCCATACTTGAATCAATTTAGTCCAAATTGTGATTCTCGTCTTAACGCCTGTCGAAATAAACTTGGAACAAAATATTCGCTAACCTTTCAAGTTGTTCAAAACTAACGAACAAGAGTTAAACTTAGTTAGCGGAAGTCTGAGCTTTGTGCTCTTTCCTAATACGGGCTCATAACATTCGACTACGTAATAACTCGATAGTATTGAAGAAACTGCGAAAGACATTTAAAAAAATAGTTTAGATGGAACGTTTGGATTCGAATTTCTCGCTTTTTCTGGAAGGATTGTATCCAAGTTAAGAAATGTTCGTTATGAATAAAAGTTTGATACGCTTTCTGTGTATGGAGACAGAAATGATTTGTGAATGTATTTTGAAGAGGTTGGATGACTTTGTCGAAACGCCTAAAACCTGTTTTGCATCATGAACACAAACTTTATTTTACAAACACTCATAGACCATTTGTAAACATGCTTAAAGTTGTCAGAGTGGATAGTTTTCGAAAGTGGACAGTTTGCAAAATATAAGATTGATCTCACTTCTAGCTTTTATTTAGGTAAAGTTAAAAGCATTGTCCCAAGTGATGTTTTCCAGTGTAAAAAGGACTTGCGTCAAAAAGTCGTTGTTTTTTTCGGAAAAAAGAGTAATAAGCTAAAAACGAAAATTTAAAGTGTATCCTGTCAAGACTAAAAGAAAGTGCATTATTATGTTTCCTAGGATATTTTTCGCTTTATAAGCTGATAGATCAATAAAAGTTCAACCTTTTAGTTTTGAATAGAAGTAATGAAAATACAAAAACAAATTTCCATTCTAATCTCTTAGGCGAAAGCAACTGATAAAAACTGCACCTCCTGCCTCTAGTACTCTCACCGCTATGGATGGTACCTGCTAGGTAATCACGTTTTTTCGGAGATAACGGGATATCCCGAAATTGTCTCCAATCAACTTGTTCTCAATTATTTGTTTTTGAATTCAATCGCCATTTTTCAGTGATTTAATCTAAATAATTAAGCAAGCACATGTAGTATGAAATAGTAAGATATATTGATTCAACTTAGACCTTCACAAGGATCAAAGAAAACTTCGTAAAGAAGATTTTCGTCCACCAATTACTCTACATAAGGTTTTCACATATAATCCGCTTTACGGTTGATTCGGGAAACATTGGTTAGAACAAAAAATGAGAAGCCGTTTTCGAGAGAAATCCAAAATAAGGCTAAACCGGAATGAAATCATACTTAAGTTATGTCATTACTTTTTCTGTACGTCCACAATTACATATATTTAGCTGACTTGACATCTTTAAATTTGTACGTCTTTTCCTTGAGGGTGTGGGTGTAAATTTTCTATAAGTGTCTTTCTCATGTCCTTTTTGTATTTCACTTTCTGATCATTTATTGGCCACACTATAATCTGTCACACATATCGCACGTATAAGTAGAAATTCAACTACTTCTGAAGTAAGACTAATTTTGCTGTGTGGGTTATCTTTTTATATTTGTGTTGCAGTGTAGGGAGGGACACAGCGTTCCGGCAAAGAGACTTGATGCATACTGGCCTCTATGTACACAGTATAATCTATTCTTAATATGTGTTTTTGAGTCTACTGGAAAATACTTATACAAAAAGTTAGAAAAAAAGACATATAGAAAGGATGTAGCAAAAGAGCGTATAGAACAAGACGCATGGGAACGATGTATAGAAAGAGCATACGGATTCCGACATACATAAAAAACACGCCAAGATAATGTTCAGAAACAATACAAATGTAAATGAACCAGAAGAGATATGATACTTTTTTTTATTATTTCCGATCGAAACAATAAATTGAACGAGCTTGATAGCTGATGTGTTATACGAATCGAAATCTAATTTGTGCAAATCTGATAGCTCGAGTACGTTTTATTGTCAAGTACATTTGAATCGACTCTTCGTGAGAAAATTTTCCAATACATGTAATAGTTTGGATTATGACAATCCATTGTGTGTGAACCAATCGCATCATCATCATTCTAAAAGAACGTTTTCTCGGAATCCTATAGAAAGTTTCCGCGTTCGTCTCTATATGAAACCATTTATAGATTTCCCATAAACATGTGTCGAGCTCTCAGATACATCTGGATAGCCATCAAAAGCGGATGAAAACGCTGAATGTTTCGAAGACGTGGTAGAGTTTCGAGGATTTTCAAAAACCATTTAAAGTGAGACTAAAAAATAACCGGACACTTAAGATCATTCCCATCTTTCCAGAACAGTGATTTTGACCTATGCTCATGCAAAACGCATGAGTTTTTTCAAGATATGCTGATATAGTAGTGAAGAAATCATGTTAAAACTCTTCACGAAACGCCGTTACTTTCGAGAGTGATATCCACCAGACAAGGTTTCAAAATAGCGTATTTGGTAACAAAACTTTCCATGAGTCTTGATTTTATTTATTCAATATTGTTTGTTTGAAAGAGCACATTAAAATTCACGATATGACTGAGTCTTTTTCTATAAAGGCTTACGTTTGGGCTGCATAAAAATGATGAGAGGTTCAAAAACTAGAAAACTCGAAAAAATCTTGAGAAAGCAGCCGACTTTTGCCGATTTTTACATTTTGTTTTAGTTTTTGAACTTCTCATCCTTTTTATGCAGCCCGAACATAAACCTTTATAGAAAAAGATTCTGTCATTCTGTGAATTTTAATGTACTCTTTCAAACAAACAATATTGAATAAATAAAATCAAGACTCATGGAGAGTTTTGTTACCAAATACGCTATTTTGAAACCTTGTCTAATGAATATCACTCTCGAAAGTAACGGCGTTTCGTGAAGAGTTTTAACATGATTTCTTCACTACTATATCAACATATCTTGAAAAAGCTCATGCGTTTTGCATGAGCATAGGTCAAAATCACTGTTGTGGAAAGATGGGAATGGTCTTAAGTGCCTGGTTATTCTTTAGACTGACGGCATAGATTTTCAGTCGCTATCAGACAAGAGAATTGAAGATGTACTCAGTTTTAAGAAACTCGTTACTCCTCTTACTTAAAACCAAACAAAGACCAGAAGTAAATTGTAGCTTCGAGATTGTCAAGTTTTCTAGCCTCTTAAAGGCACAGTGATAATTTTCTAATGTATTCAAGTGTTTTAAATGTGGATTTTTACAATCAGGAATAGCTTTTAAGATCTGAAGTTCTCAAATGTTGTAAATGCAAAGTCTTCAAGTCGATCAAAATTTTCGAATGTCTTAGAAACAAACTTTTGAATCTATCCAAAGTCATAACCTCATAAAGCTTTGATATTTGTCAAAGTTAACGTTTTTACCGGTATAATTTTTGACTTTTGAAGGTTCTTTATGTTTGAGCCCCCTACCTAAAAAAAGCCATTTTTGGTTAGAATGATCGGAATTGAGATAAATACATGGGGAGATAGCTCGTGATCTTGTCTTTCAGAAGCCATAAAGATTTTGACTTGGTACCTCCTTTTTTCCAAGAAATTTCGAAGATTTCTATCACCCGCTATTCGAAAAACAAGCTGTTTTTTACAAAAAACCGAAAATGTTATATGTATTTTCTCAGCTTATGACATGTCAAACGCACAATCCATATTTCTCAGCACAGGTCCATGTGATATATTTAAATTTCTTTTTGTTTGAAAAAGCACGTCAAGATGCAGAGCACTACAGAATCCTTTTTTTAAAATTACACTTCTTTATTCTCATGTAAGAAAACACCTCTATAGAAAAAACAACATTTTTCAGGGTTCTTTTAAGTCATTGAACTTGTGATTCTTTCATTCTGCTTAAAAAATGAGAATTTAAAAGAAAAAAGGACTCTATGGTACT